TTGAATATTGCAACAAAACTATCTTTTATACATAAAAGACATGTTGGAGACAGCTTAAATGCATCATCAAAAGCATGTTCAATTGATTTGGTACTGAATAAATTGACATCATTTTCTAATTGCAATAAATTACCAATTCCTATGTCAGTAATCTTGAGCATATTTTTTTTCCCAGAACAAATTACATGAGTTGGCAAATCACTTGGCAATAAATAATCTGTATTTATACCATTATCTCGAACATTTAGGTAAAGACTGTCTCCTTGCTTCAAAATATTATTTAGATCAATACTTTGTATACCATAATTCGTTTTTATTTTATTCATTGTATAACACAGAAATATAACTGAATTTGTTAAACATTGTTTTCCTCGTGAAAAATCTGAAAAACTAACATCACCTTGATGTAGAGCTGCAGAAATACAAGTATTTTTTGTTAATTCTGTCCATATTGGTCCAGTAAAAACAGAAGGTAATGACATTTTATGATTAATACAACTTTACAGAAATTTAATACAATTAAATATTACCAATATTATGTATTCAATATTACCTTGTGCACCAACACAAGTTAAAATAGTTAATTGCACAAAAGCTCTTATATCAAAATTGGAATGCTTTTACTTATACTAATAACTTATTAAATAAGTTTATTATTAAATAAGTTAATAACTTAGTTATAAAACACAAAATATTAAATATTAGCGAATTAAAAATTAGTCTAGAGTAATAATATTGAAATGCAATTATAATTTAATTACAGAGCTATTTTGTCATGTGATTCACATGCTGACATATTAAAATATGTAAAAAGTATGTATAGAAAATTAAAGATAACAAATTTCAATTTTAATAAAATAATAAACATGCTTATACTATACGATAAGTGTCCACATTTATCGTATAGTAGAACTTTACGGTGATACCGTGATGGTGCAATAACAGTGTAATGTCGTAAACTTTACAGTATAATGCCGTGAAGACACTATTGGGGTAACATACCGTAAAATGTCGGTAAAGTACCATGAATTTCACGGTAAAGTTTTACAGTGTATATATATATATCTACATATGTATCTACATATATATATATATATATATATATATATATATATATATATATATATATATATATATATATATATATATCCTTATAGTGTAGTTGAAAGAGTCTTTTAATGTAAAAAAAGTCTCTTTCGACTACAATTTTAATTACCTCGTCTCTTATGCTGTATTTGATTGTCGTCGAAATGTCAAAGCAATTAAATTAATGCGGAAGTACATTAAATTTTATTGTTTTTTAAAAATTTTTTAAAAAACCGCAATAATAACGACTAGAAAGTTTTTTTTAATTAGTAGTGTTTTTGTTTTTGTTTTATTAAAAAACATTTTTAAAACATGCGTAAATGTTGCTACATCGACTATCTTATAGCCTGACTCGCAACGGAGTGCTGCTACATCGACTGACAAATAGCCTGACTCGCAAGGGAGTGCTGCTACAATGACTGACAAATAGCCTGACTCGCAAGGGAGTGCTGCTATGTCAACTGAGGGTTTGGTTTGGGCAAACAGTCTATCATTTAAAAAAAAAAAAAAAATTAAGTTTTTAAACTTTTTCTGGTCTGGTTTATTAACGCGCTCTTTTAAAACTACAGTTTATGGGAAACTCTTTTTAACTACCATGCAAGAGTATATATATATATATATATATATATATATATATATATATATATATATATATATATATATATATATATATATATATATATATATATATATATATATATATATATATATATATATATATATATATATATATATATATATATATATATATATTAGGGTGGTGCTTAAAACAACTTTTTTGAGAAAAACCTGCTGGTACCCCCTAAATGTGTTTTATCTAATACAAAAACACTAGGTTTAAAATTTTTTTGAACAAAAATTATTTTTAGGGGTAGCTCAAGGCCCTCAAAAATTTGACGGGTCCCTAATATTTTGAAAAAAAAACTTTTTCTAAAGTATGTCAACCTGGTACTCAAAAGAAGCGATATTATATAAAAACTTCAAAAATAATAATCATTTTACATAAAAAACATGCCTAAAAAAAATTATTCTCAAAAAACCTGAAAATATTGACTTTTTTTATTTTCAGCTTAAAAACAATAGTTTTTATGCATTTATACCTGAAAAAATTATTTTTATAAAAAATTATTTTCATTTTTAAATTTTTTATATAATTTTGCTTATTTTGAGTACCAGGTTGACATACTTTAGAAAAAGTTTTTTTTTCAAAATATTAGGGACCCGTCAAATTTTTGAGGGCCTTGAGCTACCCCTAAAAATATTTTTTGTTCAAAAAAATTTTAAACCTAGTGTTTTTGTATTAGATAAAACACATTTAGGGGGTACCAGCAGGTTTTTCTCAAAAAAGTTGTTTTAAGCACCACCCTAATATATATATATATATATATATATATATATATATATATATATATATATATATATATATATATATATATATATATATATATATATGGGTGGGTCATAAATTTTTTTTTCTTGTTACAGGCTCTAAACATTGCTAATAGTTATTAATATTGGTACTATCAAATATGAGAATGATTGTGATAGATTTAAAGGGCGCAACTTTATTGGGAAAATTACCGGTACCCTAATATTTTGGAGGAAAAAAAAATAAAAAATTTTTATAAAAAATTCGAAAATAATAATCATTTTATAAAAATCATATTGCCGAAAAAATTGTTATTAAAAAACATGTAAAAAGGCACTTTTTTCACTTTTAGTTAAAAAACTATAGTTATTATGCAATAAAATCTAAAATAATTTTTATATGAAAAAATTATTATTTTTGAAATATTTATAAAATTTCGCTTTATTTGAGTACCTACATCACATAATTTTGAAAACTTTTTTTTGAATAGTAATAGGGCCTGCTAATTTTTGTAATTATAGTTGCGGGTGGAAGACATTGTTCAATCCATAAAAGTAAATACTTTCCTAAATTAGTACATAAAAAAACAACTTTCTAGACCATAGCCAGGTTAGCAACTCTAAAAAAAAATTTTATGACCCACCCTAATATATATATATATATATATATATATATATATATATATATATATATATATATATATATATATATATATATATATATATATATATATATATATATATATATATATATATATATAGCAAACTATCTATAACTATATGACGTAACTATATATGTACCTATATTTGGTTGTATTTGTAACTTCATTTTTGAAAAGAGTAAGAATTTAATTAAATGGTTAAAACTAATCATGAATGTGATCTCCTTTTTGTGCTGCATTGAGTTAGCATTGAATGATGAATTTTAATCCAAACAAAACTATTTTGTTAACTGCCAATAATTGACTTAAAAAGTTGTAGGTTGCATGAGTCAGGAAAATATGAAGATGGATTGAAGTGCACAGAAAAAAACTAGACAAATAAAAGTTTTTAGAGCATGTAGGGACAGATATAGTAAAAGAATGCAACTTTGCTGAATAGCAAGAGTTTTGTTTGATGGAACTAAAGATGATTTCTCTTTTGAGTAGCAACCGATAGAGCAACCATGATAGTATTTGTAGGAAAAACAAACACAATGTTATACCAATAGGAAAGAGACTCAAACTTGGAAGACCAGGAGATTACTAACTCTTTGAGAGATTTTACTGTTTACAATGCATTTTTGGACCTTATAAAGAACGAGAATCATTAAAATAACCAGCCAAAATAAGAAAAAAGTATTCCATACAAGGACAAATAAGAGATTTGTAGAAGTAGAGAATATAGAGAAGCAACCTTGATGCTAACATTGCAATAGATTGTGTATATGGTTTCCATATGAGATCAGTAGTGAAGAAGTCAGTAATACAGGAAGTTGTAAAGAAGAGGACTCAATGAGAGTCCATTCATTTGAATAGGAATTTTAACAGTATTGCTCTAGTTGTTTGCCACTGCAAGCCCTAAGCCATTACAGAAATGTGATCAGATTCAAAATCGGCTGTCTGTTTAAAATGATTTTTAAAAAATTTCCTAGATGCACCATATAAAGCAAACTTATAGAAAAAATCTTTATAAACATGCATGCCAAACATGCCAGCATGCTAAACTTTATAGAAAGCTTTAGATGTGTCAAGAGTAATAGCCCTCGTCTCGTTGCCCCCATCTAAAGCACAAATCTTTCAGTCACAGCAGTTAGCAAGTCTGCTGTAGAGCAAGAAGGAAAACTATATTGATTGTCAGAGACTTGAAGTTAGAAATTTGTTGATCAAAGGCTCTTAAGGCTTATTTAACTTAAGGCTCAGTGAAGGAAAACTTTTGATCTTTTTTTGTTTTGTTTATTTGTGAAACTGAATGTTGCGTAATTTATGGATGGGATTTTTCATAACTTATTTAAAACTTAGTTTTATTATTATTTTATTTAAAAATTTTATTAAAAAATTTTAAAATTTTAAAAACCAAGCTACAACTCAAAAACTTAACAAATTAGCTAAAAGCTAAAGCTTGATGCAACACTAGCTCATCAAACTACCTAATGCAAACAAAATTAGTCAAAAGCCATTAAAACAGCACTCAATGTTAATAACACTAGATAACCCAAAGTCAATAAAACAGCACTCAATGCTTAAATTCAGCTAATCCTAATCAATAAAAATCTGGCTGTTTACAGGCTTCAAATCTTAATCAATTGAAACCTAGCTGTTTACATCCATTGCTCTTTCATTCGTGTTTTCATATGGTTTGTTATATTCTCTAAATTTTTCTTTTATAGTGCATCTTCTAAATTGTGATTCTTAAGTTTCTTTTGATTCTTCAGTTTCTTTTGACTCTTCAGTTATGGAAATTAATATCTGTTTTAAGCATTTAAAAGAATTTTTTTAAATTTATTTTAATAAAGTGTTTTAATAAATTAATTAATTATATATTAGGTTGTTTTAATTTTTTAACAGGGATCAACTTGTGATAAGTGTAAACCATTGTATGTAGGAGACCCTACATCTACGTCTGGACTTAACTGTCAAGAATGTCGTTCTGTGTGTAATAATAATACAGATATATGTATGACAAAAGAAGATTTTGTTAAATACAAACACAATGTAAATGTTCATTAATTTTTATTATACTTTTATTAATAATTCAAATATTGTATTGTTTTTGAAATTGCATGTTTCGAAAGTCATTGCGTGTTTTTAAAATTTTTAGATCATGTCATTTTCTCATGGACCTAAAAGTGTGGATGATGTAAAATGTTACGATTGCCAAAATAACAGCGAAGGAGACCTCTGTGACTCTTGCATTGATGGATTTTTCAAGATATTAAATGGACCATGTCAACTGTAATTTTTAAAATTTTTCATTTGAAATTTTAAACAATAAATCATTAACTTTTTTTTACTCTTTTTTTTTAAGCTGCCAATGCAATAATCATTCTAATACATGCAATAAAAGTACTGGAGAAGAATGTCAATGCTATCATAACACTGAAACCAGTTTAAACTGCAAAAAAGAGTGTTATAAAGAGCAGGTATTTGTTTTTTGTTGTTGAGATGATGTGACTATTCAATTTTTCTTTATTATAATATCTTAATTTTATCTTTCTTTGTAGTGCACACGTTGTATCTTTGGTTTTAGCGGAAATCCAATGAATGGAAGGCAATGCTATGAAAAAATTGTCTCTTTTATTGTTCCAAAACAAAGGACTATGCTATCAGCGAGGTCGTCATTTTTCATGATTTCTCCTTATTATATGAATGTTAATATGCGTATAGTAATTGACGTCATAGAAGGAGAGTTAGACATGTATTTTGCTGATTCTGATGAATACTTTATCGTCTCTCAAAATGCTACACAAATTCAGAGTTTTTCCGTTATTTTTGGACCTAGAAATGAAAACAGCAAAGATGACGATTATACACCAGAATTAAGTTTATCGTCAGAAATGTATTTTACGGTTACCGAATATTTCGGCAATGTTTTATCTGTTAAAAATATAAGAAAACGTATACTAATAACTGTAAAACACTCTGTCCACGATTTAAGTAAAAAAAATTTTTACATAGCTGTATCCACAATTAACAAACCTGATTCAGCATTTTTTATATATTATAGCCAAGATTTGGTGCGTTTAAACCTGACATTATTTGTTCTTATTTTAATTGTATGTTTACTTATTATTATGTGCTTCGCGTTGTTGTTTTGGAAAGCTAGTCAATTATATATGCAAGGAATGATAATTGGAGAAGAAGAGTTAGCATTAAAGACAATGGGAACTAGACCATTTGGGACTTATAAAATATTTTGTCAAAATTTAGATGAATTAGTGTATAAAAGAAGAACGAAACAAAATTTACAAGACAGTGTGACGCCATTAGCTATTCAAAATACCAAAGACAATTTAGCATCGGTTATAGTAGTTATAGTACAGTTCCCATCTAATGAACTAACGGAATGTTTTTGTTTAGGTAGTGGTCTAACCCTAGCACATAATCAATACCTGTTAGAAACAGCGTCGAATATCGGAACACATGGTCGTCTTGTGAACACTCGGATATTATCCACAGTTGCCTAATATAGTTTTTATACGTTTAAAATATTTTATACCAATTTTTTTTCCTGATCAAAAAAGGTAATGATTTGTACAGTATTATATTTATTCATGGCTGATGGTAATGTGCCGAATATTTGTCAACTATTCCATATATATATTTTTTTGTTTTGTTTTTCTGTCGAGTATTCCGTTTGTTTAATTATCAGTACCTAATAATTTGAAATTTTAAAAATAATTTCTTTTACAATATGATTTCTTTAGATAACAAAAACTGAGTATTTAGTGTTTAAACCAAGAATTATGTGCTTGAACCAAGAATTTGGTTTAAATGCAGAATTCACGGTTCAGAAATTATTTGAAACTATTATTCGGCACATTTCTCGTAATGATATAATCATATTCAAAGTATGAATTATGTTATATTTGTAATATGCAAATATAAACTTTCATATTATGGTGGATTGTTGTGTATTTATACATTTTATATCATTTATTGTTGCAAAGAAATTGCTTTATTTTTGCGAAGAAATTGTTTCTCAGCATAACTTTAGCTTTATAAAACTTTTTTTGTAAGTTTTGTAAGATGTGATATATTTTTATAAGATAAATAGACCATGTTTAAAGCTCAATAGTATTTAGACTTGATTTTTTTGTTAAATTTTTATTTGTTTTATATAGTTTTATATAGATTTTTTAAATAATAAAAAAATTAGTAATATATTTAATATACTTTACTAACGTTCTTTATTTATTATATATTTTAGGCTTTAAAGCTATCAATTTGTTGTTATTTTTATGGTGCTTTTTTTAAATAAAAAGTTGTGTGATACAATTTGTCTGTACATTGGACCCAAAAATGACTTCATTACCAAAACTACAAATTTATTAATAACCAACTTGTGAATTAAAGTTTGAACTTTTACCCATAACTATACTAATATTAAATCCTAAAATTAACTATACTAAAATATAGTTATTTGTTGAAAAAATGAAAAGACTAAACTAGTTCAATCCACTACTTGGAAGTATATATGTATAAAATATACGCATGCTTGGAAGTATAAATGTGTAAAATATACGCATGCTTGAGAGTACATATGTGAAAATATTTGCATGCCTAAAATTATAAAATCTCAAAATAATAACTTTTTTATAATAAAATAGTCAGGCCTACGGAGTTCGCGGTTAAAGGAGTAAACTTTTCTAATATTTTTTACATTAACTTTAAAAAAAAACTTCAAAGTTCAAAAAAAAAAAAAACCTAAAGTTTCATTATCCATGTTAAATGCATGTTATATAGCTTTTACTTTGTGCATTTAGTTTTTTAATGGTTAAGCGAATCCTGATTGGCGGATCCAGACCATCTATTAAAAGGGGGTAATTTACAGGGTTTTTTGATTCGGAGAATCCAAAACAACAGAAAAAACAAGTCTTGCCAGTCTACAATAAATAGTATTCAAGATCTTACTTTAAAATATCAAGAGAAAAACTGTATGACATGGGATAAGTACAGAAAATAGTAATTAAAAAAAACAAAAATTTGGCTGTAAAAACGATTTTTCCTCATACATTATTAACGCGTATACCTTTGTTATACCAGTTTTACCTTTGTTATACCAGTTTTTACCTTTGTTATACCAGTTTTACCTTTGTTATACCAGTTTTACCTTTGTTATACCAGTTTCACCTTTGTTATACCAGTTTTTACTTGATTTTATTTTTTTAAATCTTGAACACTATTTAATGTAGAATGTTAAGACTTGTTTTTTCTTCATAAACACTTATAGAACTTAAGAAAAGTTCAATATCCGGCAAAAATACCCGGTACACCTCTAGTTTTAATGATATCCTTAAAAGTTATTTAACAACCGTAAACAGTTTGTTTATAGTAATGAAAATGGTACATCTAATTTATTAAATTTAACCTGTTGAGTTTCTCAGGGCTCTATTCTTGGACCTCTTCTTTTCTTAATCTACATCAATAATCTCGCTAAAGCGTCAAATTTTATGATTGTCATGTTTGCTGATAAAATCTTTTTTTATCGCATTAATGTATTCTAACATTATTTCAAACTATGAACATCGAATTAGAGAAAATTTGTGAATGGTTCAAAATGAATAAATTGTCTCTAAATGTGGATAAAACAAAATGGTCACTCTTTCATCCGACTTCTTAAAAGAAACTACTGCCTATTAACTTGCCCTTACTTTTTATAGACAAAATTCGAATAAAAAGAGAAATATATGCTAACTTTTTAGCTGTCTATGTTGATGAAAACCTTAGCTGGAAATACCACGCTGATTTTTTGTACAACAAAATTGCTAAAAGTATAGGAGTAATATATAAGGCTAGAAATGCCTTAAATAAACAAAGTTTAACACAATTATATTTTTCTTTTATCCATTGTCATTTAAACTATGCAAATATTGCTTGGTGTAATACCAATAAAAGTAAACTAAAACCTCTTTATCGTCAGCAGAAGCATGTTGCTTGTCTAATCATTTTTAAATACCTGTATAACTATATTATCTTTTACTTAGTTCTTATTGTATGATTTTGTTATTTAAATGTTAACGATTTTATTGTACAACGATTGACTAAAATGTTTAAGAAAAGAACAAAATGTTTATGAAAAGAACAAAATGTTTAAGAAAAGAAGTTTCAGTCTTTTTCAAGTCCAATTTAAAATTTGCACCACGTAATTTTATTAAAATTTCATATCACTCATAAATAGCATCCCTAATTTACTTCCGTTTTCTAAGAATATGCTGCGTTAAATATATAAATTTACAAAATTTTCCCGAAATATCTAAGGTATTGATCCCTTATGGATCTGCTATAATATGTTCTCCTTATGTTAACACTCTGAATATTGTTGAAACTTTCCAATATTAGTTGCTTTTTAATTTTCGTGTTACGTTGTAAATGCCACAGAATTTACACCATGAACCAGTAAATGTCTTTTTGTTCCCAAATTATCGCAACCACGGCTAATCAAGTTATACGAAAAAAATAAACTTTATATTAAAAAATTAACAATAAAATTATTTTCAATAATTTTCACATTGAATGCAAATTGGAACAGTTTTTGAGAACGGAGCGAGTAGAATACTATATATAATAGAAAGTAAAAAAAAAAATGGATTTTGTTGTTAAGTTTTAATTGTTCCAAATGTAGCATTCGGTGGAGGTGTACTTTCGGTGGAGGTTTACCTTTCGGTGGAGGTATACTTTCGGTGGAGGTGTACTTTCAGTGCAGGTGTAACTTTCGGTGGAGGTGGAGGTGGAGGTGGAGGTGTACTTGATTCGCGAGTAATTAAGCAATCATTTATTTTTTTTTTAGTTAAAGTATATCACTTTCCCCCAGACCCCGTGAATCAATTACATCTCCGAATAACTTTCAGTGTTGCGCATTTACATCTGATGATATTAAAAAAGCTGTACCTAAACAAGGCAAAAACTTTTTTAAATAAACTATAGTTACATCTTTCCGTGAATTGTCAAAATTGCAAACACTTCCTGTACGAACATCAATGCATTTAACAAAATCAACATCACTATTCAGAATGCATATAAATTATCAGCGGAGCAACCCCCAAAGGCAGTAATTCAAAATAAAGTTAAAGAGGAATCATAGTGAGTCAGCTAAAAAGCTCATCAGAATAGTAACCACAATCTCCGAAAGTTGATGTATTGACATTAAAGTGTTTTGAAAGCATTGTATAGGCAGTCTAATGTGGAAAAATAATTGAATCATCCGGTTATGCTGAGTGAAAAGCTAATATAGATTTTCTATTTTAGTCAGTTTCCTCATTAAAGTATAACATAGCTGAGATCACTCCTTACTCAAATGAAGCTTTGTAAATAATAATGTTTTTTGGGCATCTTAATTATATAGTATAGTTGATTCCCTCGTTAAAATTCTGTGTTTGACCGTGAGTGCATTTTTTAAAAGTATCTCATCACTTAATTCTTTCATAACTCTTTCTTAATAATATTATATACCGGTAATACTATACTATATAACTATACCGGTAAATTAACTTTTGGTGTGTAATTGCTGTAACCTTTTTCCAATAACACCAGCTATTGGGCGATGAAAAGGCTCTGGAGAATTAGCGCATTGGTAAAGAACCGTACAAATGTTTTTTTTCATTTGAAACACCTATTCGTTTTCAGTTAAAAAGTTATTAGGTGCAGCCGGTTGAATAGCCATATCAAAATAGTCGTAATAATAATCTTAGACTAATTCTTTTAACTGCGCATTCTGTTAATCTTCTAGTTCCAATTTATCATAACCAATTTTTTCAATGTCAATTTTCTCTTCGGTTACCTAGTCTGGTACCAATACGCTTCTGGATATGACAAACACACTCTAACTTTTCTGGTTGATTTGAAGTTTTTCATCTGGATTACTGTTTATAGCATCATTAATATCTCCATCTCTTATTTAAATTTAAAAGAATTTATTGACAGTAAAATTAAATATCTACACTACTTGCCTCTGACGATGACGTGTTATTCAAGAAAAAAATGTAATATATTAGGTATCAAAAGACGTTTAAAAGACTTTTGATACCTAATATATTATTTTTTTATGTCCTGTGCCTACAGCGTCGGATTAGATTGGGCAACTTTCTGAGACATTTTTATTCCGAGGCTTTAATCACACCCGAATCATTCCCATTTGACATAAAATTAAGCTTGAGTTTGGAAAATTTCTAAAAGTTTATATAAAAGTATTATACCTGAAACATCAAAAAATCCTGGCTACACACAAGCGGAAAGTATGGAGTTTTTCTCCACACCGGTGTGTAGCTATGACTCCTAGACACAAGTGTGGAGTTATTGTGCACACTTTTGTGCAAATAACTCCACACCTCTGAGCAGAAGTCGAGTTAGAAAAAGTTAATTTCCACAAAAGTGTACAAAATAACTCCACACTTGTGTCTAGGAATGATAGCTACACACCGGTGTGGAGGAAAACTCCATACTTTCCGTGAGCGGTTAAAAAAATGCTGTAAACTTCAAGCGCAATTTCGAGCAAAATCTCGTCTTAAATAAAAGGTATAGAAAGTAACCTTATAACAGAATATGAAAAATTGTGCAAAAAATGTGCAAATCCGTATCTAAATTTGATGCATAAAAAAAAAATTTATTTTTTTGTTCTTTCTTTAAATGTTTTTATTATATCAATATTAGCCGTTTTATAATTTTAACAATTTAATAATTTAATAATAGAATGATTACAAGATTAAAAAAGTTCGTAATAGGAAGAACGCGGAATTTCGTAGAAAACCTTAAAATCTTATCGTCGAGTATAGCTTTGTTTTTTAACTACATAGTTACATTTATTGTGTTAAATATATATATATTCTCGTCGAAAGTAAAATAAATAAACGTAAAAGATATATTCGTATATGTAAATACTAAAAATTGAATTTTAAAAATTTTACTTTGTTAAAATTAAAAATATAAGAATATGTTATCGAAAGATAAAATTATCTGTTTAGGTTTTTTTTTTAATGTGTAGCCATTCCACTCTTGAGTAAAATCAAAGTATTTCAAAACTATTTTGTTCCATAAAAAAGCTCTTCGATAAGAGATACAAGATCTACCAAAATTTGTTTGCAAAAAAGATTGTTGGGTAAAATTTTCATTTCAAAGATAGTATTTGTTTTTGTTTTTTATGTGAGTATAAATTATAAAAAAGGATAATAGAAAGTACATTTATACATAAAGCAAATAATATTATAGACGTTAATTTGATATACATTAATATTCATTTTAAGTAAAAGAGGCCTGGCATGAGTAAAACGGTTTTTAAAGTTTAGAAGAAGTGCAATATGACGATAAAGAAGTTTCGTATATTTTTATTTACACTACCCCATTCAGTATTAGCATAGTTAATATGGCAATGAATAAATGAGTAATATAATTGAATTAAAGTATATTTACTTGAAAAAAATCTTGATTTTTATAGCATTCCTATACTTCTAAGGGCTGTCCATAAATTACGTCAACAAAATAGGGAGGAGGAGGGCTCTGAATTTTTTTGACATTTGTTGGGATGGGAAATTAGCAAAAAAAAATTAGCAGCGTTTGTAGTCCTACGTTACATACTCGCTAAATCTTCAGTATTTTAATAAAGCAATTTAAATTCCTACTTTTTAAATATTGTGTTGCGTTTTTAAAAAGACCCGTCACGTACAGAACTAAATAAGCACACAAGGCATGTTTACTCATAATACTATTATTTTTTTTTAAGTTATCGTTGGTTAATCTGCTATGCAAATGAAATAGATTTATGTAAGTACTTGGTCCACGCTATATTATTTAAAGGTTTATACCAGGGGTCGGCAACCTGGGGTTGATGCGCCTCTTTAGCTCCATGCAAAAATATTAATATAATATTGAAATAAAGATTTGGTAAATGATTTGAAAAAAGATTTGAAATATAGATTTTTTTAATTTTAACTTAAAACTTTATTTATTTATATACATAACTTATTTATTTATTGATTGCATACAGTAGTTTAAAAATAAACTAATTGAAATCTCAGAGTCTTTAATAAATAGAAAAAGGTCATTTATAAATATATTGAAGAATATTGGCCCAAGGATTGATCCTTGAAGCACTCTTAATGAAATTCCTAACCAATCAAAAAATGATTATTATGATAAAAGGTGAATATATTTTTGCGAACACCCTTTAATCTTTTTTTTTCTGTTCAAAGTAAGTTTTTTCTAGTTATAAACTGGAAATATATTCTTAAGCTAAAAGTATAACTTTTTTTCTATACCTTTTACTTTTATTCAATTTTTGTTCAGAGCGTTTGTAATTTTAAATCGTTCTTAGTAGCGGGTTTTAGGAGGGGGGGGGGGGGGAATCTAAATAGTTTACTTTTAATCTGTTTTTTTTTTAGTTGTAAATTAGTCTACTTAAAATATTGTTTTTTTTTTCCATTTAACCTTTTTTTTTTAATGGAGAGGGGGGGGGGTAATTGAATGTTGACGTAATTTTTAAGGGGGGTCTCTGGTAGTTTGACAAGCTGTTGACGAGGGGGAGGGGAGGAGGGGGAGGTAAAAATTGCCTGAAAATTGTTGACGTAATTAATGGACTGCTCCCAAGCAGTTTTATTACAAATAAAAAGCATGGTAGCATGCGATTGAGTGCGTAAACGTCTATTAAACTTAATTTTTGATTTTAACTTTCTTGACCTAAAAGTTTTTATTTTAACTACTTCATGCGGCATAAATATGGTTAACAAAATTCGAGCATGTGGCACTGAAAGAATTCACATAAGCGATACTTCTTACGTCAAAATAAACTGAAACACCTCGGTAATTTATGGATTAAATCGATTAACTTTAATTGATTAAATTAAAAAAAAAACGCACAACTGCTGTGGAACATTTCTAAAACTATTGGAAAACAAACTTATGATTAATCATAATCTTGTTTTCCAATAGTTGTAGAAATGTTGTTTAGTAGTTGTGCCTTTTGTTTTTTTGTATAACAATAATTGTTGTTCTATTTCTTAATAATAATTGCTGTTCAATTTCGGTAACAATTATTGTTGCCAGATTGATTTGATTTTTTTTCCGCGACATAAATTTTACAATATAAGTTTTGTTGTACAACTGTTTTTTCTTGTGTTAAGTTGTGCAACTTACGCAAGAAAATGTTTCAGTTATAAACATTAATGTTGCACAACTGCTGTACAACATTTCTACATATATTGGAAACCAAGCTATAGCCATACACAAGTTAAAGCAACAATCCAAACAGCAAATTCTATTCCAGATCCAAACAGCAAGCATTTTTATTTTTAAAGCATTTGAATTTAGAACGTTAAATTGATTCGAATTTTACAATGTTGAAAATTAATGAAAGATATTCAATAAATTAATAGAGAAAAGTAAATTGAGATATTAAAACTAGTGCGACCGATCTACTTAATTGATAGTAATCCATAGATTTTTTTTACCTGTTATTATGTATTATTTGGTAATAAAAATAAATGAATAAATAATGCGTTGCGGTAACGCCACGTTTGTAATTTCTATAGGAATGTATATCTTTATTTTACGGCACAATATTTAAATATACTCTTCCTTCTCAAGTGTATTTAATATTTTGTATATCTTATATTTTTCTTACTTTTTTACGTGTTGAACTGCAATGTATTTTTTTCCGTAATCATGTGTTTTATGGCAAACGCACTTGAATGAGACGAAACCAAAATCTTCTGCATGTTTTTCTATAATTTTCTTTACAATATATGTATGATGGAGCTATAACTATATCATGCATAGATTTTTATACACATACATAGAAACATACATATATATATATATATATATATATATATATATATATATATATATATATATATATATATATATATATATATATATATATATATATATATATAATATACATACATATATACATACATAAATACACACACGCATACATACATACATACATACATACATACATACATACATACATACATACATACATACATACATACATACATACATACATACATACATACATACATACATACATACATCATACATACATACATACATTCATACATACATACAGCATTATACACACATACATACATACAACTAGCATTAAGTTGCTAAATAAATAAATACTAAAAATTCATACATATATACATACATACATACATGCATACATACATGCATACTTACATTGTAAATATGCACATGTCAATATATGTATGTATGTATGCATGCATGTATATATATATGTATGTATTTATGATACATACATATATATACATATGCATACATACATACATATATACATACATATATAGACACAGGCATATTTACAATGTAAGATTGATGCGTATATATATATATATATATATATATATATATATATATATATATATATATGTATATATATATATATATATATATATATATATATATATATATATATATATATATATATATATATATGTTTTACAATTAAAACATTATTTTTCTTGTACTCAATAGTTTTGATAATGTTTGTATTTCTTTTTTCTGTTTAGATTAGGTAGAACTAAATTCCTTTTTCTGAATTGAAATGCAATGATGTATTTTTCCATTTCGATTGGGATAAAAAACTTGTTTTTAAGTAGCTATTCTGGTGTTAATCATAGTATATCTGGAAATGGTGGTGTGGATTGTTATAACTTTATTTCATTGGAACAACGTTTTTTAGATACTTTTATTTTCACAGTTATATTTGGAATAACTTTATTGCCATATATCACTCGTAGTTTATATTGTCCTCATAAACTTGAAATAGAAAAGTTATGCATAAAAAGTGTTTCAAAGAGCATATCTGGGGTCCGAAAACTCTTGCTTATTATTTTATCCTTTATCTTCGGAATTCAAGTTGGGTTTAAAATACTAAAGGGTGTTTGGCTTTTTTTGTTAAATCCTTGTCATGTAATCACAGGTGTACAGGTATCAGTCTTATATTTATTGTTTTATATAAAGTATTGTTGTCATATTAGCTATATGACAAAGAAAAAATTTAAACAGTTTTTTTTTAAAATCTATTTCTTTATTCAACCTTTTTTTTAATGCACTATGCAATAATTACTTTTTTATTATGACTATTTTGACCATTATGTACCTTTTTTTTACACAGATTGTATTTAAAATCATTACTCTATGTAGAATTGTATTGAGTATTCCATTTTGGATAATCTTATAAAAGCAAATAATGCTTATGGCATGATTTTTAAAATTGCAGCCAGAAGTATCTCAGCACTTATTGGAAAGTGACTGCTTAAGGCTGTAGAATCTTTTGTCATGATATAAGTTTTAAACTTAAAGCTAGAGTTATAAAAATCCAAAATCCAAATTTTTTTGTTTGTTTTGAAAACAAAATAAAACTAAAGATTAGAATTTTTCAAAAATCTTTTTTTCAAGTTTTATATTTTATATATATTTTTATTTATATATATATATATATATATATATATATTTTTTTTTTTATATTTATTTTATATATATATATATATATATATATATATATATATATATATATATATATATATATATATATATATATATATATATATTATATATATATTTATGTTTGTTATTTTTTTCAAAATGAGCCACCACTGTTTATTTAAGAACAACTAATTGTAAATCTCCAAATTGTAAGTTCATGTTATAAATTTTTTTATAAAAAATTAACATGGTTTGTAATTTAAAAAACTAAAGAAAAAATTTTTTAATTTTAAATCTTTTTTTTTTTTTTTGAGAAATCTTTTTAACCCTTTTACTTCAAAACATAAAACTTGACGACTGCTGACTGGGACAAAACATAAAACTTGACAGCTACTGCACTGCATCATAACATAAAACTTGACAGCTGTTGCACCACAACATAAAACTTGATGGCTGCTGCAAACAGAAACAAATTAAACCAAAACATCAAACCTGAAGAACAAGGCTGCTGTACAAAGGAGCAAATTGAAAGACTGACAAAAAACATCTATTTAATAAAATGTAATGTAACTTTAACATACATTTTAATAATCTATTTTAAAAATTTCGGTTTTTAATACTTAGTTTTTCGCAAGTCTACAATGTTAACAACTCTAAAAAAGTGCTTTTTAAGTAAATATTGGTCAATTTGGCATAGAATGACCCTAAAGAAATGAAATATTTAAGTTTTATTTCTATTTTATCCATTTTTCTTAATTTATAACTTTACATTAATTCCTTTTTAGATCTATTTGCTTGGAAGTGAACCATCAAGAACATCTGTAGCTATTTTTAGGTAACTTTTAGGTGTCATAATTTAAAATTTTAAAGGTTGATATTTTTAGAAGAGTTTATTTGAAACCCATTTTATGTCAAATCAGCTAGTACATCTGTTTTGGATTTAACTTATTTTTATATATGTTAAAAAGCATATGAAAATTAGGAAGTCTTAAAATCTGTATATCCAACTCATTACACTTCTTTTATGCCAACTCTGCATTTTTTGCAGCATTAGTTGTTATCATTCAATAACTTTATTTAATGAATAGAGTACATAGACAATAAACCTGAAATAGGCAGTCTTCTACATGGTGAATATAGGGACCAAACATTACTTTTAAAGCCAAAAAATGTTGTTGCATTTTTTGTCTTTTCTAAATTTTTTTGTAAAGCTTATTTAAATGCTAATTCAGCTAAAAAAAAAGTTTTTTATAACAAAATCTTTTATATATCTTTTAAGTTGCAAAGAATTAATTTTGAGATCAAAAATATACCTGTTTATTATTGCTAAATTTGTTGTACTTGCAGTTAGCTTGCAGTTAGCTTAAGGTTGGGAGAAAATAGGAGAAGGTTAATCAAAAATTTATCCTGTTTTTTTGGTCAAAGCTGGAGTGGGGAAGGAAAGTGTAAATAATATGATATGCTATGAAGGCTATTCTTTTTTTTAATTATCATTGAACCCTTTTGTTGCAACCATTGTTGAACCTGTTGTTGCAACCCTATCTCAATCCTTTAACTCTGAAAAATGAGCCTTTTCAAATGTTGTTGCGTAGAGAAAGAGATCGAGGGTAGTGGTAGTTCACAAGGGTAGTGAACCTCGAATTTCTCATTTACTAATTGACTACTACACAGCTACTGTATTGTTACTGACACAGCAAAGTTGTAAAATATCTATTACAATTTAACTTGTAAAACATTTTTTGGAGATCTAATAGAAATTCCTCATGATTCTGGAATTCATGGATTTATGATTCTGTTAATAATTGTATCTAAGCTGCGTATAATGTTGTATATATTTTTTTAAATTTTTTGTTTATTATTTGAGGAAGTTAGTGGTATACAAGATGGTGTTAATGTAGTCATAGGATCAATACCTTTAGTAATTTTGTCAAGTTTTCTTTTGGCTGCTGGTAATTGTTGATGTTTTAGCACTGAATTTAGTTTATTAAGCGATACACTTATAGATTCAAAAATTTTGTTTACAGATAAAAAAAGCAGAGATTTCTTTAAAAAAGGTAGTCTTAATAAACAATTTTTTAACTTTCCATTTTTAGAAAATTTTAAATTTAAATTTGTTATATTTTTAATTTAATTATATTTACTTTAGTTTTATTATTAAATATTAATAAATTTAATTTTATTGATTAAATTTTTTTAAATTTTTATTAAATTTTTTTAAAAACTTTAAACACTCTGTTTAAAACACTTACTTTTTTATGTTCATTTTACATTCAGCAATTTTGTTTATTTATAGTTTCAAATCAATAAATTTTTTTTATAACAATTTTGTTTAATTTAAAGATACTTAGGGTTTAAATAATTTTTGACATGGTTTCAAATTAAATTTGATTACAATACAAATTAAATTTGATTACAATACAAATTAAATTTGATTACAATTAAATTTGATTACAATGCAGTACTTTAAAATATGCAACTGATGTAATTTAACTTGTAATGATATACACATGTGCTAGCTGACCGAATCTGTAAAAATACGGTTGTTTGTAAGTCTATTCCATACTGACCATTCTATAATTTTTCCTTATTTATATATTCTAGCTGTCTGGACCCGTAAAATACAAAACTGACCATTTTTATACTTATCTAATCCACACCAAAATAATAATTATTTTTAGAATATGTAGCAAAAAAGACTTCGAAATATTAAAATAAAATTTTAAAGTTTTTTCATATTATACATAAATTATACACAATCATTTCATATACTGCCTGCAATATATGTGCAATATAAATAATACTATTGGTAGTACAATATAAATACAGTTTATTTAAGAACTATATTGCTACCTATGAAAACTTCTTTAGATCCCTTTAGTTTATCTGTACATCCAAAGGCACCATATAAATTGACCATTTCAAACTTATATCAAGTATTCAGTTCAACTATAATTAACTAATATTTAAAAATTATTTATTATGCCTGAAAAATGACTTTATAATCTATGAAATGCAAAATATAACTTGAAATTTAAATATATAATGTAAATATGTAAATAATATATGCTGTTGTTAACTAAATTTGTTTTTTCTGCCTCACTATGTAATCACAGTAAAAACTTGATGCTTGGCATCAATTTTTTCATGTGTATCTAATAATTTATACATTTCATATCATTTTCCACATCATTTTTCAACTATTGATTGTCAACTGGATATAAATCAGGGCTGTTGTTGTTGGTTGTTGTTTACCATATTTTCAATACATTTGTTTAAAGCAAAATTTTATGTAGCCCCTTTTAAATTTTAAAAAAAGATGTGGAATAAGTTTGGTAGATGTTTCTGTATTACCTAAAGGTTTTCCCAATTCATTAACAAAAAAAGAATTCTTTCTTTAATCTTTCTTAATTTATTGCGTCAACATAAATTACTTAATAAATTTCACTGATTTCTTTGCTTTTGTTTAACTTCTTTTAGAGGTGTAAAAAAAAAGGCCCTTTCAAAAGATCTTTCAAATTTCTTGGTCTTTAAGTTTGCATTTGCTTCAAGCTTTTTGAAGCTGTTCTTCAAAATACTTTAAATATTTCTCAAAATTAAAACTCTGAAACAAAATAACTCTCTCTCCCATACAGAGTGTTTGTTACCCACAGGGCCTTAAATGAAAAAATTACCATCAATCTCCAGCAAATTCTAACTTTCCAGCAGCATTTGAATAATATAATGCCTGGATGGCTATGGAATATTCTTGGGATCAAGTCTTTTAAAAGTTTGCCCAAATTTCAAAACTTCATGTTTTGAGGTGGAATAAACTCAACACGATTACATTTGTCATTGAACACAAATTCTGGCTAAAGTAAGACTTGAAAGTCTTGACATATGTATTCAAACTAGCTTTTTTGAGTAGAACTTTCATCTGGTGGAGAAGCATTTGGTCACCATTCAGCACATTCAACTCCAAAGTTTTCGATAAAATGTTTATGTTGAACCTTAACGTTTTTCAAGTACTCAAATAATCCTCTTGGTCTGCCTGCATTATTTGAAAAGGAAAGTTTCTCTAAACTTATATTGTATTTATATTGTTATTATCATAAAAAGTATTTATTGGTTCTACTATTTCTTTAAAATAATATTTTTGTCATTATTAGTCTAGTTTAAAAGAAGATAAATGAGTTGATATTTTTTCATTATAAGTATTATTAAACCAGTATTATTATAAAGAATGAAACTTAATAAGTTTCATTCTATTACCCCTCCCCCTCCCAACCTAAACAAAAGAAATTCTCTTGGATACTCCTCTTTATGACTTTTTCCTGACTTAAGGCAATATATAAATTTATTAGTGACAATATATAAATTTATTAGTAAAAAGTCTTAAAAATTGAATTTTTACAAGTCAAAATTTAATATTTAAGAAGAAATTTTAAGAAGCATGAAAAAATGTTTAAACGTTTTAAAAGCCTGTGTTTAGAAAAGATGAAAAAATATGTTTTGTTAACTAAATATTTTAAAAGCCTGTGTTTAGAAAAGATGTGAAAATATGTTTTGTTAACTAAATAATTTAAAATTATGTGTTTAGAATAGATAAAAATTGCAATAAGATTTTTTGCTTTAAAAGTGATGTTTGATATCTGTATTTTAGGTTTTAAAAAGGAACTCAAAAATTTAATGAAGCATTAAAAAAAATTTTTTTTAATGTTTGTGATCATAAATATGAAACAAATTCTTTGCCATGATGATTTTTCCCATAGAGCATTATGTTTATACCCTGCAGATAACATGATAAGCTATCACTTACAAATTCTAAATATTTCAACAAACACATAAAATTCAACACACATGATAAGCTATCGCTTTTCAGTGTGTTTGTTGAAAATGGATATAAAAAAAGATATAAAAAGTCTATTCAAATTAACTTGGGAAAATATTAAAAACAAAAAAGGTTCTGCAAAAAGGTCACATTTAATAATATCCCCCCAAAAATTTTGTTTCATTATGGCAGCCAGGATGATTGGTAAGAAATAGTGAAACAATTTTCAAAATACTATTTTTACAAAAGTTTGTAACAATGTGATTTTGAAAACCAATGTTCAGAATGTTCTTATGTTTCAAAAACTGTAAAATATCAAAAAACTTTGTTTTATAAATTATAATTTTGTAAATTATTTGCAAAGAATTTTTTCATTTATTTTACTTTTTTATTTTTACTTTTTTGACAAGAAGGATTTAAATATTCCCTTGAAAATATCATTAAAAAAAATATTGAAAAGAGAATAAATAAGATGCATTACATCAAATCAAAATCACACAAATAAAAAAAAAACAAACAAAAAAATGTTGTCATCTATTTTGCATTTTACTAATTTTATAGTTCCCCTTGGTCACAATGACCATCTCGTCTCAAGGACTAATTCGTTCAGGGGCCCTCCTTTCTCGTGTGCTACATAACACTGACATCTTGCTTGTTTTTTCTCCAGGCAGCACAACGTATAATTCATCTTCTCAATCCTCAGTTAACTAATGTTAAAAAAAAAAAAATTTATATATATATATATATATATATATATATATATATATATATATATATATATATATATATATGTGTATATATATATATATATATATATATATATATATATATATATATATATATATATATATATATATATATATATATATATATATATATATATATATATATATATATATATATATAAGGGCTTTAAAAAATTAGGAAAACCTGAAAGTTGGAGTATCCTCATAATTATTCCTAAGATAATCAGTTTTCAATTTTGCTAATTTATACCAAATTTTTTTTGGATGTATTTTTAAAGTATGCATGCAGATTTTTTTTGTTAGTATAGATATGTAAAGTAAATTTAATATATCAATCATATATTGATACTCTTTTTTATAGAATAGATCTATCTATATTTCATATTAATTTATCTAATATTTAGAATTTGTAAACTAATCCGCCATGTTGATTGAATCAACTATCAATCAAACTATAATCAACTATTTGTAAAATATCAATCAACTATGATAAATAAATAGGTATAAAATTGTTTTCATAAATTTTATTTTCATAAATAAAAATAAAACTATAACTTATATTCCTGTTTTGATTGGAAAATATATAGGACATGTATTTTGATAGAAATATATATAGGACTATATAGATGATAATTTTTATATATTTTAAAATATATTACAGATATGAAACAAGTTCTTAATTTTTGTATATTTGAAATACAAAAATTAAGAACTCGTTTAACCTTTTGACTGCGGCAAACCATGTGGCTTTTCTGTTAAAGTGCAGCGAACAGTAGCTTTTAAAACTGATCTTTAAAACTATGACCTTTATTGCAAAAATATTGCATTTGGTAAAATATAAATGGTACCACTGAGTAGTGCATATTTTGTTCTTTCTTTTAATATATTGTTTGTATATGTTTTTCTATGAAAATGAGTGATAACGAAGATACCTCAGTGTATGAATAAAATTCTACTAGTGAAGAAAATATTAGTAGTAGTGATGAAAGTTTTTTTTTGATGAAGGCACAATTTTATTTATATAACAATTATATTATAAATATTAACTGGTTAAATATAGTTTATTATCTAATATCACAATACATGGTCATAATCTAGTAAAAACTGGTGATGGAAAAAAAAAAACTGTCTGGGCCGAGTTTGGACATCCTGGCTGTGTCAATCTTGTGATGTAGGTCTGTGTCCTGCTTGCTTTTCTAAATATCATTTATTATTTATACAATGAGGACTTAAATATTTTGTTTATAAAATTTGTAGATGTTATAAAATGAAAAATGGTATACAAACTTCAAAATTGTTTTTTTTCTAGTTTTTGGTTATTTTAGTTGAATTTTTTTAAACATCTTTTAATTTTATCAAGCAGCCAAAGGGTTAATAAGCTATATTATTGTATTTACAAATACAACAATATAGCTTATTATTACCAAATAAAAATACAAATATGTATTTGACCCCAACCCTGAAGGTTATGTGCATCATTTAAATGTAGTTTATGAACAAGGTTGAATGTATCACTTTATATATGAACAAGGTTAAATGTATCACTTTAATATTTTAACTCATTTTCCATAAATTTTTTTATTCATCTACTATTATTAGACTTTAGTTTGTATTTTATTATTATTTTTGTATGATTTTTTGATTAGTTTGTAACTATTTGTCATTTTTTTTATGAATTTTTTTTTTAGATGAGTACTTGCAAATTTTGCATTACTATAAGTCATAGAGTCCTGGGTTTCAAAAACATAAATAGCCTTTAAACTGTGGTCCTACATTTTTTCTTTAGTGGATTCCATATATTAGTCTCAATACTGAAAATTTAGGGGCTTCAAATATAAATAGAGACTTTAGAAACAAAAGAATCTTTATATAATGCTTAAAATCCCTCAATAATATGGTTTATATTTTTTTAAATATATTATTTAAGATTATTAATAATTTAGGATCTAATATTTAAAATTAATATTAATAATTTAGGATAAACTATTTAATATTACTCTATAAATAAATTCTAACAAATAAGTAAAATAAACTTTAATTTCAGAGTGCACAATCATTTACTTTTTGGAACCTTTCTTGCATTACTTTTTCCTGTTCTAAATACATTTGAGGTAAATTTTATTTGTAATAATAATGTGCAAAAATAAGTTATGTATTAATTATTTTTTTTTTAATGTTAAATTCACCTTCCCAAGGCTCTAGAGTCCAGACTCCACTACAAGTCAAGGAGGCTACTAATTTTTTTTTCTCTCAACACCTAAACTTATGAAATACAAACATTGTTAAACAAGTAAACTGCATGTAGAAACAGGTTAAGTACAATAGTAACAGAAGGGTAGGGTGGATTTAACCTGAAACCTCATATGGTGTATATCACCCCTATGAGCTAAAGTATTTTAATACTAATAGATGCTTTTTTAAATTTTAGAAATAATTTTTTTTGTAATTGTCTTTTTTTAACTTATTTTTCTTATTTGTCTTTACTTTGTATTTTTTTTTTTATTACAGTTGGTTGTTATAAGTTTTTTATTATTATTGTTTGTTTATTATTATTATTTTGTTAATATTTGTTGTTATTTTGAACATTGTAAAAAGAAAACCATTTGTACAAAGAAAACCATTTGTACAAAGAAAACCATTTGTAAAAAGAAAACCATTTTAAAAAGATGAACATTTGTAAAAAGAAAACAATTTGTAAAAAGAAAACCATTGTAAAAAGAAAATCATTGTAAAAAGAAAATCATTGTAAAAAGAAAACCATTGTAAAAACATAGCTGAATTATTTGCTAAGAACTTTTTGTCAATCTTATCTATTGATTTAACTAATCACATCCTACCTGATATAGCCGACAAACAGGTTGATACATTTCTTGACATTTGTATTCTAAAGTGCTTCAAGCTTCTAAAGTGATTTTCTGTATAGACTCTTCTACAGTTTGTGGTCCGGACAACATACCTGTTATAGTCTTGCAGAATTGTTCTATGGAGCTGTTGTCTATGCTAATTAGAGTCATCTGTAGTATTTGTTATCCCTATTTTATAAAATTCTGGACAGCGATCTGACTCTGATCTCAGTCCAGCTACCGTCCAATTAGTCTTCTTCTTCCTACCATAAGTAAAGTTTTCATCCTTGTAATACTTTTCATTGAAATAAGTCTCATCCTTTTACTGTGACTGTTTCTAAGTGCTTCAAAAAATTTTTTTGTCTAGTTTTTTTTCTTGGACATCAGTTTTTTGGAATTCGCTTCCTATCTAGTTTTCCTGATTCAGTGATTCAGTAAAAAAATATGCTGAATGAGACAACATTTCAGACAGTTTTACAAAAGTGTTCTCCAGAACTCTTTTTGATACATGGATTATCTTTTTTCTAATATATCCAGAATTCTGTGCATTTTTTTCAACTTTTTTTTGAGTTTTTTCAGATATATATATATATATATATATATATATATATATATATATATATATATATATATATATATATATATATATATATATATATATATATATATATATATATATATATATATATATATATATATTATTGAAATATATTTCTTTTCTCACTTTTTGAATCATTACCAAAACAAAAAACAAAAAAAGTTAAAAAAAAAAGAAAGCTATCAGCATAACCTAAATTAGACAAATATAAGAGAAATCATTTGCAGATTTTTTTTTGCAAACATTTTCTGGATTTTTTAAAACATTACCTGAATGATCATTGACAAATTAAATGGCTTTCAATCATTTTATTTTACAGCTGACCTGTTAACTGTCATAATAGAAAGGTTTTATCATGCATTAGTTGGATGCAGTAGTAACAAGGGTTGTTGCTTTTGACAAATCAAAAGCTTTCGATAAAGTCTGGTCTAGACTAGCATATGGAGAAGACTAGCAAGTCTTCTCCATATGCTTTCTTCATCTCTGAAAGTTTTTAAAATCATTAAAAATGCCTTTTCTAAAACCAAAAATTTCTAAAAAGTCAAAAATTTATTGGAACTTAAATAATTGTTTAGTTTGTCAGCTACTTGTCTATATTTATAATTACACAGCTCTATTAATAATTAACACAATGTTATATACATTCCTATATTGATAAATCGCTTTTTTTTTAATTATTTTCCCAAGGCTGTGAAGGCCACTACAGTCAAAGAGACTATTTTGTTGTTTTTGTTGTTGTTGTTGTTGTTGTTGTTGTTGTTGTTGTTGTTGTTGTTGTTGTGGTTACAACCTTTTTTAAACTCTTTAACTCTGAAACACAAACTCTTACTGTGTCTTCTACTTTATGTCTTATCAGATTATCTTTTTTGTACCATTAATGGAAATATACAATCAATTGCAAAGTTAGCATTTGGTAAAGTTTCTCATGATCATGCTTACAAACTTCTTACACCAGATTTCATTCTAATATATAGTTCTCTTATTTGACCCTGTATGGAATATTGTTGCCACATTTTAGCTGATTCTTCTGGGCTTTCTCTTCTAGACAAGGTCTAAAAAGGTATTGTAAATGTAGGTTTACCTGCCCTTCCAAGTTTGAGTATCTGGTGCATTGTCGTAAGGTTATATTTCTTTTTTCTACAAATGCTATCATGGTCGGTGCTCAAATGAGCTATTATTTTTTGTTTATTATCAACTAAAACTTAATCTTGGGTGCATTGTAATTTAACAAAGTTTTTACTTTGTTCCTTTGTGCTTGCACATCAATGCTTTGGAATTCTTTCACATGCTGCTTAATCATACAATAAGTTTTTTAAGCTTTTTTGCTCTTTACTTTTTTTATGTAACTCCCAACATTTTGTTGTTTGTTTGTTTGGAGTGAATTGTCTTTAAAAAAGAATCTGAAAAAAAAAAGTTGTTGATAACAAGTTATTTTGAACCAGTTGTTATGAACTAAGTGTTTTGAATCAGATGTTATGAAGTTAGTAATTTAAAAATTTTTGAGACAATGTAATAATCCAATTGTTTTTTTTCATAATTTTTATTTAAATAGCTTTCAAGTATATACAATTACACTGTGACAGCATTCTTCTAAAATGTTAAAATGAATATATCACTTTCTCAAGAGGGTGAGGGTACCCTGTTTAGGTATTTTACATGTAATACCGCCCTGTAGAAGTGCAAAAAAATATTTTGTAATATAATTCCTGGTGATGTTGACATTTAACACTTATTTTAACACATACTTTTAAAACAACTATACAATAACACATAACAACTGTTATGACACATAACAACTGTTATGACACATAACAACTGTTATGATACATAACAACTGTTATGGCACAACACCACCCTGCTATGACACATAACACTACCCTATTATGCTCATGAAGTTGCACATTTTGTGTTTGACTGAAAAGACTTTTAGTTAAAAGTTTATACAGTAACTTGTTTGTATGATAAATTTGTTTGTGTATATTAAAGTTTTTTTTGTATATAAAAATATTTTTTATTTAAATACTACTTCTAAAGTATTAAATTCTGTTTGAAAAATTAATTAATTTTTTTTTCCTTTATTTGCTTGCTGTTTTTCACAAAACTAAAATGAATTTTTATTTCGAGAGATGAGTTTTGAAGTTTATCGTCTGGTTTTTTGTTTTTTAATTTTGTGAAATTTTATGAATAAAATAATTATGATTGATTGTCATAACAATCAGATCATACTCAGTTAATTGTCATAACAATCAGATCATACTCAGTTGATCATTATAATATGAAAACAATGGTTTGATTTAGTATGATTTGATTCCTGATCAACTAACATTGATCAAATATAATTTATTTTTTTTACTTTTTGTAGAGCATTGGTGAACAAGTCATGTATTGGTTGCAACATTTATTGATTGCAATTGTTGTTCCTCCGTACCTTATGTTTGTTGGAGGTAATACTAGAATTGTCTTTATTGATAAAAACTTAAAATAGCAAATTTTTTGTATGGTGTGCAACTTGAAACTATAGTTATATATTATATCATAGTTCTAACTTGTTTCAAGTACAATTCAATACAATGTTTATGAATGTTTTAACTTTTTTTTGTAGTAGTTACCGTATTTAAAGAGTTCTTGGGGTAGGCACAGTAATCACAGGCTATAATAATTACCCAACTTATATTAATTAGCTTTGTATTAACTGTTAAAGATATTTGTAGATAAAAGTTTAAAATATCGTGATGCAAATTTACCTCTTTTAGTTTTTTTTTATTCTAAAAAGTTAAAAATGATTTTACTTATTTTTGAAATTTGGTTTGAAAATTTTTTTTTACAACAGGTGCGTATAGTTGTGAACCTTTGACAGATTTAGCTTGGCCTTTTTTGGGAGTTCTTATATTCTTTTTTTACATGATGTACTTCCTTCAATCTATTGCATTGGTAAGCATCTAATCAGTATTTTGTTTGTTAGAGGGTCGTACCATTTTTTTTTTAATCTTAGAGTGTCGTACTACACCTATGTATTTCAAGGGTGATGTCACATTTTAATGACAGTTTTTTAAATCTTTTTTTTTTAAATTTGTTTTTAAATGTTTTAATTGTCTTTAAAAACATTAAAAACAAACAATTAAAAACAATTTAAATTGTTTTTAATTGTTTGTTTTTAATGTTTTAATTGGCTAAAATTATTAATAAAATGCAGCGTATCCTCTATTTATCTACAGTAGATTAACATGAAAGTTGGTACTTTATGAATTTATTAAAGAATTTAATCAAGTTACTTTAATGCTTAAGTTCTTATAAAAGAATTGGTGGTTAAGGGAGGTTGATTTTGTACTTTAAAAAATTTTTTTTTTGCTGTGTTTTCAGATAGAAAATTGTGTTACAAAATTGGAACCATAATTCTTTTTTTTTTTCTTCTCAAAATATTTTACAAACGATTAGAAAAATTCAGTAAAAAGTTAGTTTAAATAAAAATTTAAAAACTATTGAAGGATGCAAATGGAGAGTGTTATTCTAAAAAGTCATATGTTTATTGTTTTGACTATTTTTGATTTTAAAAGTATTCCTTTAAATCAATAAAATATATTCTTGTGGTTACCGTAACTGTATTTTATTTAACTTTTATTTTTTACCTGACATAAAACTTGTTTTAATTTCATTGCGTTTTAAAACAAATAATATTCATCATATTGATTTTTGAAAAATCGACTCCCACATTTTTTTCTACTTAAAGAGCGCCGTGAGAAAAACAAAAAAGACTAATTATCCGGCACAAAATTTTTGAATATCAATAATTTTGTAATGATAAATGAAGATGATGAACAATTTTTTTATTTATACCAGCATAGTTAGATTTGTTTTTTTTTCAATAAAGAATTCGAATGTTGAAAAAACTTAATTTTAAAATGGACTTTGCGCCTTTTAGAAAAATTCAATCGGGAAAAGAGTGATTTTATAAGTTCCCAGTTTTTTTTTTATGAGAACCAGATTTATTTGAGCTTTTTTTTTATTAAAAATGTTTCTGTCATATTACATTACACAACAAACAAATCACTAACAAAAGTTTAAGACTAAAATTACACTTAAAAACCTCAAAATATACTTAACAAAAGACGTCGGTTTTTTTCTTTAAAATTAGAAAACTGCGATTTCACTTTTTAATTCAATTTATGCCTTTTAACTACTATTTTTAATTATAAAGAATTTCAATTTGCTAAATGTACCATATGCTATATAATACAGAACAGCAGCAACCAATGTTAAGAGAAGACAGGAAAATTTGATCCCCAACAGTTAAACGTAAAACCTTGAAGATTATCTGAACAAAGTTAGATTATTAGCTAAGTTAGAACCATTACCCTTTTCTTATTTTCTTTAATATTTAATATTATAAAAATGAAGCACACAACGCACTTAATTTTTCATTCAAATTCAAAACACAAAACACCCAAATATTCTCTGCTCTACTACACAGTGATCAGTAATAACTTTAAATTAGGCCAAAATTAATTTTTTTGAAAATATTTAAAATTGTTGAAAATTTGCTCTATGATGTAAAAAAAGGTTGACAAAGAACGAAGACTAAAAATTTTATATATATATATATATATATATATATATATATATATATATATATATATATATATATATATATATATATATATATATATATCGTACATAATTATTCCAAAGGTCATACTTTTCGATATAAGATATCAAAGTTTTACTTACTATTGGGAGAAAAACTGAAAACAAAATCTACCTAAATTATATGTTATCTTCCTATTTATTAGGTTTACAAAAAAAATAATTTCAAGTCCCATTAGATTAGTTTATAATTACTTGTCTATTAATCAACATTAGCAACAATAACCGCCATACATATTCTTGGCATTTTACTTAACGACATCCAATTCGTCGAAGTCAATTTTTTGCCACTAACTAATAATGTTCCAAATCCTTTGCATCATTAGGCATTAGTTTTGACATTACTTTTAATTCCTCCCATAAAAATCTGATAGGAAAGAGATCTTGTGATTGGGGAGACTAAATCATTCTATTCAAGATTTGATCATTCAAGTATTGAATAAAATATTTAAACTCAATCAAATAACTTATACAATTTTCTGAAGGATATGTTTTGGGTTTAAACTTTAAGTCATATTCTTCTAAAAAAATGAATGGATCTCCATTAACCTAACTTTAAAAAGGTATAGCATGACTTTTTAAGTGTCCAAGTAAATGAATTTTGTCATTACTCCCTCTATTTTTACTATGTCACCTGTGGTATTCCAATCAAAACAGCTCCACACCTTAGCACTACATCCACAATCAATAATACACACTATTTTATCATACATTCAACGATTTTTTTTTCAGAAACCAAAGATTTGAAACTTCGATACATCGGGTCCACGTTTACAGTCATTTATGGTCCATTTTTTATGCAGTTTCAGCATTTTCCATTTTAGCATTTTTACTATTCTCATGAATTTTTTCATTTTAATCAAAATACTTTTTTTTTTTTTTAAATTATAGATATGATCCAACAATAGTACCAAACGAAATAATAAATTTTTATGAAATAAAAGAATTGAAACTTAATATAACGAGTGTGAACTTTTTAATTATTAGTATTATAATTTTTTATAATACTATGCATTATAAAATAGGGGATGTTGAAAAAATTAAATTGAACTTTCTCCTTGTCATACGACTTTTTTATTAAAATTGAACTTTCTCCTTGTCATATGAATTTTTTTTTTTAATGGAACTTTTTCCTTATCATTTCACTTACGTCATACGACTTTTTTTTTTCCTAATGCTAAACCATGCCTATTCTGTAAAGAATTTTTTTTTGAAATTTAAGAAACGAGCTTTACAGCACGCTCCACACACTAACTGTGTATTGGAAAGTTCAAACCAAGTACACTAAGATCTGGTTTGCATTCAATCTTTCAATAAGTTCCTGACGAAATAATCTCTTTGTAGCAGGAAGCTCATAGATAAGTTGATAATCAGAAACCAATTCTTTCAATATATCAAATTCTTATATTCAAATTTTCTGTTTGAAATTTTGTTAACTCTAATGCATTCATAGATTTTATCAACCAGGGCAGTTGGAGGATTGTCTCAACATTTTAATATGAACCTAACTGCTATAGTTCGTTTATCTTTTAAATCATCTACAAGGAGGGATAAAAGAAAGTTTTCTAGAAGGAGACAAAAAGCATTTCTTAAAACAACAGATAGTATCATGCCTGCCATAGATTTATTAAATGTATTAAAAAATTAAATTATTTTCAATGTTGTGTTGAAAACTTATGACCCTTCATTAAAGTTTTTAGATTTCTTCATTTCGAACCAAGTTTAAAATTCGTATTACTATTTTCAGCCACCTGGCATGATTAACCGGACCAACTTTATAATTAACTTATATTAGATTTATAGCACATACACATTTTTCCATTTTGACAATAAATTAAAATTAGAGTTTTAAAATTAGAGTATATAAAAACCGCAGATTTCACACATATTTGAGGAATGACCTTTAATCAGAACTTTTCAGAAACTTAATCAGAAAGTCATTGATCAAACTCTATTTTGGAGTAACTAAACAAGTTTAAATTTGATTTATTATGATGATCTTGTGCAACAACTTTTTCAATTTTAACATAAAATGTTGTTGAAGTGTTAATACTGCAATCGTACCAATTTTATGAATTGTTCTGCCAAGTTTTCGTCCAAGACTGGCACAAAACCCAGTTGTATAGCCATTGTTGACATTTGTGTTATACAAACAATTCCTAACATTAACTCAAAACTGTTCTAATGTGTTAACACTTTATGACTGTGCTAAACTCTCTCCTGTACCATTTAAACTCTCTCATGTACCATTTAAACTCTGCTGTTCAAACTCCTGATTCTGCTGTAAAACTTTATTTAATTAGTGCAGCCGTGGCGCAGTGGTAGCGCACTTGCCTCAGAAAGGTAAGATCCGTGGTTCAAACCCCACCTCTGAGCAAGTTTTGCGACATCGGTTGGGAAGGAGGCGTGAACTTCCTATAAATGCTCTTCCGCGGTGCTCTGTGATAAGACCGTAAGGACTTTTTAAGGCACCTAAATCAACTTAAAATAAAAAAATAAGTGATTTTTTTTTTTACTTAGGTTAGGGATCGTCCATAAATACGTCACGCATTTTTTGACCTCCCCCCTCCCCCTCGTCACAAAATCGTAACACTTAAGAAGCAAGTTTTGTATGAGTCGTCACAAAACTACCAACCCCCTCCCCTTTATAGCGTGACGTAATTTATGGACGACCCCTTATCAGATAAACTTAACATTTTATAAACTGCCATTTTACACGAAAAACTTAACTACCAGTTAAAATAACTTTTAAGTAAAGATGCTTCACTTTATTTTAAGTGAATTGAAATTACTTCATCTAAAAATTAAAAGAAAAATTATTCTATAAAAACACAAAGTAACCAGACCAAAATCTAAATTTTGTGTTTACATTTGCCAATTTCGGATTTACATTTAACCAAAATTTTAAAAATCGACATGTCAGATTTGTTTTTAAATTCGGATTGCACGGAATAAAAGTATCAAGTAAATCACAAGCATGAAAATGCCTTTTTGAACCATTTGAGGAAAAAGAAAACTTTTTGAGTTTTTTAGTTTGTCGAGTTTTTGGATTCATTTATAGCAAGTTTTAACCACAGCTGTGGTTAAATAAATTAAACTTTTTAAAAAAAAATAAAGACTTGATTAACCGCTCACTTTATTTACAATATTTTTTAAACTATTTTTTACCGTGTTTGCAGAAATTTCTATTTTCTTTTGCGAATAGCGAATGTCTTAAAAATATGAAAAAATTTGTACCTAAAAACTTTAATTCAAAAAATTTCTATTTTCTTTTGTGAATAGCGAATGTCTTAAAAAAATGAAAAAATTTGTACTTAAAAACCATAATTCAAAAAAATTGATTCAAATTTGTTGTTAAAATGTTTTAATTAGTTCTTTATTAGTATAAAAACTTTAACTATTTGAGGGGACAGGTAAGTCGACCTCCTTTAGTGGTGATTTAAAAAAAAAAATTTACAAAATTTTCTAAAATGATGGCAATTAAAATGTCGATAAGAATTATTAATAATAATACAATGTGTAAATGAAGTCAATGTTTCACTAAAGGCAAACACACAAAGAATTATATTTGACACTAAATATAAAAAAAAATTTATTACCTTAGTAAAAAAACTCAAAATAATAAAAAACTTCATAGTAGTCGTATGTAACAAACAATAAAGAACGTTACAAACAATAAAGAAAATACAGTACAAAATTTTACACATTACACGTACCGATATTTCAGGTTTCTTTACACAAAATATAATTATACACATTGCACGTACCGATCAGTTTCTTTACACAAAATATTTAAAATACTAAATAATGCTTATTTTGACTCTTCTAGATGACACTAGTAAATTTAAACAGTGTTTTGTGCCCCGCGATATCGGATCCGTTTTACGGACCCTCCTGGCGATGGTTTGCAATGATTCATCAACCTTTATTGATTCTATCGTTTGGAAAGATATATACTATTTGTATTTTTTACATATTTAAATTACTTAATATTTCCAGCGGAAAGAAAAAGGAATGTTTTATAGATTTATTTGAAAAGCTAAAAAAGTCTGAATGAATTCGTAAAAGACTTAAATATTTCACGACTTGTGTTTGCTTTTTAATTAATATTTTTTTTAATTATACAAATATATTCCATATACGTCACAGTATCGTTCTGTTCAAATCACATATTTTATATCTTGTTCTACATTTTTTATAGCTTATTTAACTGTTGTAAGGTAAACTGTAGCCAAAATGTTGTCAAAATTTACAAAACTTAATAACCGATATTTGTAACTAAATTTTGAGTTTTCGAGTAGCAAATTTGTTTGGTTTAACAGTAAATTTTTATTTTTTGAAAGTATTTATGCCAAATTTTTTATATGGTGTTTCAGTTTACGCTTATAAAATTTTAACCAATTATTAGGAAATATTTCTGATTTTAAACTTAGTTGTTTATTTTTACTTAGCTGTTTATTTTTATTGTTTTTATTTTATTACTCGTTTGTGATTTTTTTTTTAAACATTTTTAACGAAGAATATATTTAAAGATTTAGGAAAAAATGATTGTGTTTGTTTTTCTATCTTTTTCCTTTTCTCTCGCAAAGCCTTTATTTCGTGTGCCTGCAGAAACATTTTTGTCGTGTGCGTTATGGAGATTTATTGTTGATTCGTCATTTGTAGAGATTTTAATATTAAAAAAAATTTAATTTATCGAAACTTATACCAAAATATCAATATTCTAAAATCGCTCCAAAATGTCAGAAACATTTTTTGCTAGCTGTTTATTTTTTACGAGTTCAAGATATTTATAAATTATTTCAAAAGCTACTGACGAATTACAAGCCTTTAAAGCTAGTGAAAAACATGTTTGAAAAAACTGGAGTTTATTTAACTTCAAAGCGCCAAGTTGAATTTTTTCGTTATTAAATATACCAAGCATTAACTTAAAAAATTATATTTGAGGCAGTTTGAGCTGGAAACGATTATAACATAGTAAGTTTGGTAGATTGTCGATTCGTATAACATTACCGCTGGCGGCTACAAAATAAAAGGTTATAAAATTTAAATGAACACCAAGATAAAAATAAAAATTTATGAAAAAAAATATTGAATCAACCTGTGGTGTTCTCTGCTAGCTCGAAGTTTTGACGCTGATATTTTTCGCAGTAGTTAGCACCAGGAAGATTTTCGATTAAATATTGAATAGTTGGATGAGAAAAACCAAAAAACTCGGGACCAGATCCCGTGTTCGTAGCAGTTTTTCCACGAGCAGTATTTAATCTTTTTAAAACAACACAATGACAAGCGGTGGCAGTCATTGCTGTTATAGGTTGGTCAGGTTCGTCCTCGGGAATAATTTCAAACTAAAACAGTTTAAAAGTTGTAACTGACAAGACAATACATAGATATAAGATAAAAATTCAATCTACCATTGGGTCAGATCCTCCATCTTTTATGTAACAGAAATATTGCACGCGATAATCTGGATCTTTCATGCTCGGGTATAACCGTGTGCTGCAGAAACCAACTGGCCATATATAACGTTCTGAGTGAAAACCAGGTTTATGCGAAACAACCTTAAAAAAAGTAAAAATAAAATTAAATTATTTAAGTAAAAAAGATCTCATTTTCCTTCAACATTAGAATTACCTCCCCAAGGTCATAGACGCACAATGTACCCAATGTGATAGGAAAAAGGGGGACACCTAAAATCAAAAAACTCACTTTAAAATGATATCATATAAACCAACAGATTTAACTGAAATCATTGCAAATATTTATAACATAAATTAAAAACAAAAGCATTAGTTAAATTTAAACCGAGATCATCGAGGTGAAGTGGAAGAACACGTTTTCTTGCTGTACCAGGTTTCTTACGCTTCGGCTTCTCGTCGCTTAAACGAATATCTTCCTCGAATTGAGTTTGAGGAGCTAATTATGTAACACAAGTGAATAATTATGTAACACAAGTGAATAATTATGTAACACAAGTGAATAATAAATGAATAGTGCACAGTAACAGATTTAAAAATAAAGCTCAAATAATAATAATAACTTTTATACGAAGTTTTAGTTGGGCTAATTCGATTTGTATCCACTAAAGGTGATTGTAGCTTTACTTTTTTTTTAGTAACTATCGCTTTCTCCTGCTCGGGTTGAACAGGACTCAGTATTGACAATGGAACTTTTCCAGGATTTGCCCTTTCTAAAGCATCCAAAGCTTTTGTGCTTTGAATTACTTGTGACTCAGACATAGGTAGATGTTTAAACAATCTCTTCATTAGCCATCTACGATTAAATAATAATTTAATTTATATTTTAATTTTTGAATGTTGCCATTTTTAAAGAGCTACTAATATATTATATTAAAATAAAACTTCTTTTTATGGATAAAAAGAAGTTTTATTATCGATTTAACAACGAGACTATAACATGATAGCGAGAATATTTATAAAATTTTGAAATATTGTTTGAAAAATAATACAAATGAGTGGGTCAGAAGCCAAGGGGTACAAGTGACAATTTTACCAAAATTAAGTTAAGTATAGAATTTGATAGAAGAAGCAAACAAATTTGTTGGTGGCCAAGGGATACAAGTGAATCTCTGCCCTGTGCTACTTTCTACTGGAAAAACATAACAACAGCTGAGTATATTTAACAAAAATACTTTAACTTTAAACAGCTGTATCTCAAAACTATGAAAATGTCACTTGTACCCCTTGGCTTCTGACCCACTCAAATAACATTTATCCATAAAAAACGTTTTATTTTATTATAATGATTTTATTCTTTTATGTTAAAAATAAATTGCAGGAAAATGATGACGAAAAATAAAAATAAAAGTTGAATTAAAACAAAAAATAAAAAAAATAAATATAAAAAATATTTAATTAAAAAAATAAAAACATTATTAAATGGAAACTTTAAATAAATTCTAAAAAAAAAAAAAAGTGTGACTAAGTGTTTCTGTGAGAAAATAACTTAAATACTTTCTTTCCGCTTTGATACGAACAAAATGTCTTTCCAAGTTAGCAACTTCATCATACAAAGCAGCATTAATCTGAAAAAATAATTAAGAACAAAAATTAAAAAAGCAGTGATTTTCAGAATTTTGATGTGAGTGTGAGTGTGCATACATCGACTGAGGGTTTGGGTTTGGGCAGGTTGTCTTGAACTGAAAGAGTTATCTTTTTCATGTTTGCGGACTTTAAGGAGACCGTCGGAATAAAGGTTTGATAAGAAAGCTTACCAATATATATACAGCGTGTCATTTATATGGTATAAATACTGTCACTCCAGTTGATAATAACTTATCAAATACATCAAATATATACCTTAAAATCGGGGTTTAAAAGGTCCCAAACTATATGCATTAAATGAACGTATAAAGCTGCAAATTCGAGAATTTCTTTTTTGAAACATGAAAAAAATATGAATTTGATTAAGTTGCAAAAAAAAAAAAAAAAAAAAAAAACCCCATCGAGAACATTTTACAAAAAGTGCAGTTATAATAAAATAAAAAATGCATTATAATCAAATCTGAAAAAGAAAAATGAACGTAAACGAACAAAAAGCGCTCATTTACGATTTCTTAGCAATAGGGTATAATAAACTATTGCATATATAATATTTTTTATTAAGTGTCTCACTTTCTTATATATTAATGAAGCCTGAGTTTAATAATTTTTTTGGTGGAAAAACAAGTCTTGCTAACTAAAAAGTTCGTCTAAACTGAATTCCTAAACTTACGTGATTGTTTGCAGCGATGTCTTGATTTGCAGACAAAAAAACAAAATAATAAGAAAAAAATCCATGTAATTTATAAATGCAAGAAACTTTTTCTGAGGTTGTTCATGAAATTGCAGAACAATAATTTATTTCTAACAACGAGTTAAATAAGTCGATAGTTTGTAGTATTAAACCCAACTAAGACCAAATAGAAGTGATTCTCTTAGATAGTTTGACACAAAGCTCTAAAGTTCATAAAAACTGAAAACCTAAAGTTGATAAACTTTTAGTTTTGCAAATGCAGAACTGTTTTCTGCAGTGAGAAAGATGCCCCTTGCAAAGAATCTTATAATAATGCTGCCATTGCTTCTCTCAGATTTAGTGCGTCATCAACTAATACTGCTGCTATTACAAATGGTCTACTGAAATATATAATTAAGGAGGGAAACTAGGTAGATAAAAACAACTTCAAATGTTTTTTAAAATGAAAGTTTGTTATGCTAAAAAGCGTGCTATGAAGGATTCTAGAGTAGAAGAAAGGAAGAAATACCTTACTCATTATACGTCAAAGATTGTGTCAGAAATATTTAAACAAGCTAAACAGATAAAGATCTTCAACTAATTGTCAGATAATTCAAATGAAATGTCTGAGTGGAAAGGTCAAATGCTTCATTTTGCGAATGAACTTTTAAATTGAAAAACTTTTAGATCTTTTTTTAGACCTTTTCATCATCATCATCATCATCATCATCATCATCATCATCATCATCATCATCATCATCATCATCATCATCATCATCATCATCATCATCATCATCATCATCATCATCATCATCATCATCATCATCATCATCGTCATCATCATCATCATCATCATCATCATCATCATCATCATTATCATCATCATCATCATCATCATCATCATCCTTCTCCTCACCATCATCATCATTATCATCCTCCCCCTATCACCATCATCATCATTATCATCATCATCAAATAAAGGATGGTGCGAAGCAGTTAGTAAACTATTTCTCAACATTTTTAAAAGAATTACTAAATTTACGCCAATTCTCCTCCTGGAGCTTCTTCTAAAAACTGATGATTTAAGCAAATAAGCACTGAGAGTTTAGTAGCATGGAAGAATTTAAATGCAATATTGAAAAGAAAGCTTAACCCTGAAGTAGCAACTTTTAAATGCAGCAGATTGTCTCATAGTTGATGGTCTACTTGTGACAATGGATGCTTGCTTCTCTATATGAACAAGTACGATATTAAACCTGACAATGCAGAGTTCTTAAGGCTGTATGCAACTTGGGTTTATCTTTCAATCTTCTTTGAGATTAAAGTAAAGCAACAGGCAAGCAATATGAACTTGATCATTAAACCTTGTCATCATGTAAAGCAATTTCGACTTTGGCAGAAATAAGATGATAGGATTAAAGAAGATGATAGGATCAAAGAAACCTTATCTAGAAAATAAATCCTAGTGGGCTAATCCTGAGAATATTCTTGTCTCACTTCTCTGTTCTGATAACTCAAAACTGAGGTTATTTACTGTTGAAATAATATTATCAGTCAGGATTGGAGGTGTACATAGCTCTTCTGATATAAGATCTTTTATGACCTCAAAAAATCTATTGATTGGAAAAAAATCATGACTGAACCATTCATCACCACAAACTTAGTTTAACTTAGTATATGTGGGGGTATATTTTGGCAGATAGTATATTGGCAGATGCAGCATTTTTTGGTGTTTGAGATTTCAGACATTTCAGACATAGATCAAACTCCAAATATATATATGTTTATACATATAAATAATAAGGATGCTTTGCAAAAAGTTGTGATGATTAGAGTCTGAAGAAAAAAAGGCCTAAAGTATTAGCTACACCTGCCCCATCGTGAGACAAACAAGTTGATAAAATATATATTAACTATTCTCAACTAAATCTATATCCATCAATAAATTTTAAATTTTATAAAACAATTTCTAAGCGCTCAAAAAAAAATATATATATAGTTTTTTTTTTTTAAAACATATATAGTTTGAACCTCCCCTAATTTGAAGAGGTTACAAATTTTATTAGGTCATAATTTTTGAACGCTAACAGATTACTGCATGAAATTTACAATTTATCGAATAATATAAATATTATCAACTTGTTTGTCTCACGTTTGGGGCAGGTTAAAGTGTTAAGAATTTATAACATTAGTATAAGCATTAATATGTTTGGAGTTTGTTGCATGTCTGTAAATTATCTCTAACATCAAAAAATTAAAATTAGGTCATCGATAATTTTATTTGTTATATTATACGCAATTTTCTTTATAAACAATTTAAACCATAATAGATAGTCAATAAATTAGACCTTATGTAAAAAATATATTTTTCTGTTAATATTTGTAAAAATATTACCAGAATTAAAATTTCCATTCTGAAAAAAATTGGAAATAAAGTGTTCTATTCAATACTTAAAAATTTAAACTTTGACTCATATATATATATATATATATATATATATATATATATATATATATATATATATATATATATCCATTTTGTGACTTCTATATGATATTTGAATCTTATATAATATACAAATAGAAATCTAAGCGTGCTATAAAAAAGCGAATACACGAACAAAACAAAAAATAATTAACTGCGACTTTAAAAGTAACAAATAAAAATCTGATTAGATGTGATTGGCTGAAAGTCTGATCAATTTAATAGCTATTTTTATAACTAATTATGCTTAATATAGCTTTAAAAAAATAGTATATATACATATATTTTTAGAGTTATGTTTTAACATTAATAAATGATTAGTAAACCAAAAGGAAAAAATAAAAAAAATAGACCCTGAATCTGATTTAGTCTATGCGCCTATCTCCAAAAAAATAAGTGCATCAAAACTTTCTATTTTCTGTTTATAAACAATTGGCCTGGAGCCGTATTCACAACACTCTTTTAGAGTTTACGGGGCATTAGCCTTAAATTTACGGAGTATTATGTGAATTTTTATTTTAGCTTCTTTTAAGTGAAGAAATCTTGTACACTTTATTCAAATACATTAGAATAAAATAAAAATAAAATTAAAACATTTGTTCAATGTTGGTTAAGATTTACGGAGACAAAAGAATACGGCCCCATAATAAAAGACTTAATAACGTCCCAGTAGATTCATTTAGACACTTTTTTATTAGTTCACTAATAACTTCATTATTACTTAACGATAGTTTGTCAACTATTAATAAAGTATTAATGTAGATTGTCACTTTATTCAAGTATTAAAGATTGTTACTTTATATGCTCTCATAGAATTTTATGTTATGAGAATCAAATATAAGCTGAAATGATTTTAACAGATGTAAAAACTTTTATTAACCTTTTTAATTTGTTAAAACATTAAGCTAAAATGGTTGCGCAACATTAAAATACGTAACAGATTACGTGCTCAAGAGCTGAGTAAAAGTAAATAATAAAGGTGTGTAAACAAACTTTTCGATAATTGGACGCTAGCAAACTTTCATTTTGGTGGTTAAACTTAAATAATAACATTACACATCGTTGACATTTACTATTAGGAAGGAAAAAAAATATGAACTGCAACTCAACGATTTCTAATTTAGATTCAAAATTACTAAAAATTTGCTTCGGAGTTTCTTTCGTAACACTTGCAATAGCTGGCAGTATCACAAATGCAATAGTCCTCGTCACGCAGCGCAAATTTAAAGTTCTTCATACCGTTACCAACCAAATACTGGCGCATCTAGCAATAACAGATTTTCTTCTAGCTGTTTTAGTACCCCCTCTATTTTTATTGCAGCTTTTTTTTGAGAGTTTAGAAACGAATTGCAAAGTTGAAACATTGAGAAGGTTTTTAACATCATTTTTAATTGGAGTATCTGGAGGAATAATTGCAATAATTAGTTACGATAGATATTTACACTTAAAAAGACTATGCAATTATAAGTTAACTAAGAAGAAATTAAGATACTTAAGTTCTTTTTGTTTAGTGTTGTCTTTTACAATATCTTCATTGAGATTTGCAAAAGAATCACAAAAAATATACTCCACCGCTGTTCTGCTTTTTTTGTTATTTGTATTTATTTCTATTATATTTTGTTACAGTTTAATCGGTTGGGCTTTATACCAACACAGCAAAATAACTAAGCTCAATTTAAACTATGAAAATAAAACAGTTCATCGTCGGGCCTGCAAAACTGCAATTTTAATTGTTACTTCTTTCTCAGTTACGATAATCCCGTTGGCATGGTTTCAAATACAAACTTTATCAGAACATAAAAAAAATAAAGATTTAGCCCTTGGATATACATTAGGTATTTTAATGGTTTTATTTAATACGGTTATAAATCCAATTATTTATTATTATCGTACTCCAAAGTTGAGACAGTGTTTAAAACAAACTTTACATTTAAAAGATGGAAAATCGAAGCAAAAAATGTCTAATACAAGTTTTCAGTACAACACAACTCAAGTATAAACGCAATTTTAAAAAAGGTCAAATGCATCTAAATGGATTTTGGATTTTTTCTTATTTTTCCTAATTTTGACAGAATACATATATAGTTGCGCTTATACAAAATATTTTTAAAAAACATCTACCTCCCCCGCCTCCATCACCTTTATGTTTTTACTTGTTCTATTACTTTTATTTGTTCAACTTTAGTGTTCATCCATTTCATGTTGTTTATTTGCTCAACTTTTGTGTTCATCCATTTCATGCTGTTTTTTAAACAAACTTTTCATGTTATTTACATAGTAGCTTTTTTTTAACTTAACATTTTAAACATTTTTATTTTTGAAAATTGAAAAGTTTTCGTGCATATTATCTTCGCTCTTGAATATATTGAAAATGTTCTTAATAATTGTGTCAATATGAAAACTTTATTAAGGAATTAAAAAAATAAAACAAAATACATAAAACTTTTATCTTTTACCCGTTTCCATCGCATTTCGATTACGGGTTTATCACAATTTTTTGCAAAAATACTCATAAAATCATACAAAATTTATTTGTTTATTTTTTAAAATATCTCACTTAAAAACGAACGAACGCCCCCCTGTTAATATAAAAAAAATTAAAAATAACACATGAATCTGCTGTTTTAAAAAAAGCCTAAGAATTTAAATAAAGCATGAAAAAAAAAAAAAAAAAAAAAATCGTGAAAGAAGTGTAATATTGGAAATTAAAAGGTCACTTTTTTTACGCAGCATTTTTAGATTGACTTGAGTTACGATAAACTTACGCAAATATTTTATAATATATTTTGTAATATAGGAAATAGCTAATATTACTATTTCTTTTTTGTTTCTACACCTATGTAATATATATATATATATATATATATATATATATATATATATATATATATATATATATATATATATATATATATATATATATATATAGTATATATATATATATATATATATATATATATATATATATATATATATATATATAGTATATATATATATATATATATATATATATATATATATATATATATATATATATATATATATATATATATATATATATCTGTGTGTGTGAAAACCATTTTTAAGAAATTTTTGTTTTGGGGTTGGCTAAAGAATACGACTTTGTGTATTATTTGTGAATGACTGCTTATCTTTGAACTTCAGCAAAACATATGATTTACGAAAGTGTTGTGAATTACTGATACACAGTGATGTTAGAAATAAGGAACCCAATGGAAAATCAATACGAAACAGAATTACATTGCTCTAAATACTAAAGATAAATCTATAATAATTTCGCTAGGTTTAAATTATGTTTTAAATTAGAGTTCGTCCGTAAATTACGATTAAGGGGGGTTAGTGGTTTTGTGACAATTCGTAGGGACTTGTTACTAAAGAGTCAAGATGTTGTGACGATGGAGGAGAGAGGGGTCAAAAATGGTCGAAAATTGCGTGACGTAATTTATTGACGACCCCTAACGCATTTTTATTAAATTAAATTCTGCATTACTTTTACTAACGATTATGAAGTGATCCTAAAAAATTTTATCATTAAAAATAAAATAAAAAAACTGATGAAACGATTAGGTTTTATCAAATGTTTTATTGCCACAATTAGAAAAATTTTTTTGCTATTAAATGATTTATCTTACAACTTTTTGAAATCAGTGTATAGTTGTATAAACAATTGTATTTTCTTGTGGTATACTAGATATGTGTAAAATACTCTAAATTTATTGATTATTGCTTTATTATTAAATTAATGTTATCTATTTATTATTACCAAAAAGGTGGCCTTACGGTACCAATCATGAAGATAACCAATAGGAAATTGGCTGGTGACATGGTAAGAATAATAAAAGACAGCACTTTGACTACAAGGATTGCTAGAAAGATATGCTAGTAACAACTTGTAACAATAAAGATTGCAAAACTATCTTGTCTTTATGTTACGACCACGAGGATCGCTGTCTACATAAGCTGGCAATAAGTTAGCAACAAACCATAACTATAAAGAATATAATAGCAGATAATAGAAAAACAAAAAAACACAACAGCGTTCTAATAATTTCTAAATATTAAACTAGAAATTATCGACAAGAACGATAACGAATCAGAGCAATTTTTTGATTTACACGACGTGTACGACGCTTAGAATAACTAAAAAATATTGCTTAAACGGTTTAGGAACTTCAATACAAAATTAAAAAAATAAATTTATTTTTAAAGTTAGTTTTCTTTTTAAGAAAGAAAACAAATAGATACTACAAATTTAAATGTAGTTTCGACCCATAAAAATACTCTCAATTACATCTAAATGGACACTGTTAGCAATGAACAATTTAATAAAAATTGTACCTCAAAAAAAACAAGGCAACATCGGACACCAAAAAAAACATCGGACACCAAAAAAAACCTGTTCTTCAGAGTAAAAAAATTACTTTGGTTAAAATTTTCATAAATGACGAATGTTTGTGAGAGCTATAATAACGAGATGGAGGATTTGCTAAAGTGCAAGTCCTGCTCTGCTAAAGTGCAAGTCCTGCTCTGCTAAAGTGCAAGCCCTGCTCTGCTAAAGTGCAAGTCCTGCTCTGCTAAAGTGCAAGTCCTGCTCTGCTAAAGTGCAAGCCCTGCTGTTGTATTTTTTAATGAGAAAATGTCAACAAAAAAGACATTAAAATTAATTAGAAAAAAGGCACAATTGCTATAGCAGTAGCTGAAATTTTTTAATAATCTAATACTAGATAGAAGACTAATCGTAGTATAGTTAAAGACTGTTTTCTAGAATTTTTAAATATTAGAACCACATTTAGCACTTAATAATAGTTTAGCGAGGATTGAAGAAAGTTCTGGAGAGCACTCTTGTGACTGAAAATATTGTCAGATACAAAAGCTGTAGAAGAATAAAATTGAGAATTGACTTTAACAATGCACTTTTATTTATTTTCTATACAAACACCGATAGAATTAGCGATGGAATATTAGAATTGCTATAGTTATGACTCTGTTGGAGATTTTCTAAGTCTCAGAACCTAACATCTGAAATAAAATATTGAATTCTGAGATAAAAATTCAATAAAAACTTTGACTGAAATATGACTACTAAAACTTGAACAAAGTTTAGTAGTCATATTGAATTTAGACTGAACAGACAACAAATTGAATTTAGACTGAACAGACAACAAAGGTCAGCTTATTGAATTTATAATGAACTAGCCAACTAAGTTCAACTTAATGAATTTATAGTGAAACAACAAACTCAGATATATATATATATATATATATATATATATATATATATATATATATATATAAATATATATATATATATATATATATATATATATATATATATATATAGATATATATATATATATACATATATATATATATATATATATATATATATATATATATATATATATATATATATATATATATATATATATATATATATATATATTATATATATATATATATATATATATCAGTGCCGTGCCAAAAGCCCCCCAAACCCCCCGAGGGTTTGGGGGGCCAGGAATTTAAAGGGGCCCTTTTTGAAAATTAAAATTATGATATAGGTATTTTTTATTTATTTATAATATTAAAACTTCGTATTAACGTTTGCTTATTTTTTGAAATTCGGTAAACCTAACAAAATGATGCATGTATTGACATGCATACAATGATGATTGTATTGACTGGCAAATAAAAAGGAGGGGGTGGAGATTAGCCCCCAAAGAACTATCAAACTTTACATTTTTATTAATAAAAATTAAAAAAAAAAAGGAAAATTAAAAAAATGCTGTTTTAAAGTTATACACACATTTAATATATATACCGTATAATCTCTCTAATTCGAATCTCCTTAATTTGAAAACCTCCATAAATCGATTAAATGCAAAGTCACCGTGAAATACCCTTATGTGAAAAAAACTTTCTGTAATTCTAAAATCACTCTAATTCGATTTTTTATTTTCCCCATTTTTGTTCGAATTAGAGAGATTGTACTGTATATATTTGCCAATATATAAACATTGTAAATGATCAAATGAAATAGTTGTTTAACCTAAAAAATAGGGCCCTTTTTTTTGTTGTTGTTCCGACTATCCTCCATTAGGACCAATCAGTGACCTGGATCCGCCATTGATTGTATTGCTGAGTTAGTGGACGTTTTATTTTAGTAAAACTTTCGTTTAGAAAGTTTTGTTTAGCTTAGTTTAAGTTAAATCTTATGAAAAAGATGCTTTGTATTACCATGGCCTACTTAAATTACACGGCCTGATTTGTTGCATTTTCCGTAAAAAATTAAGAGGCCAGTTTTTTTACGGCTCCAGAATAAAAACTTAATTTTCGCTATGGTAATGAGTCTTGTTTGCACTATAATTGGTTTATTCTGATTTTATTAAAATGGTTTAATAATAGTTAGATTTTATTTGAGTACTTACATTATTTTGTGCTGGATTTTTTGTTAACTGATTGCCTGTTTCAGTTTATTCCAATTACACAGAATACTGAAATAGGCTTTCAGATAGCTATATCAACACATACCCACATGCTAGTAAAAATAACCTTACATGTTGCTAAAACTACCCACAACTCTCCATTGGAAATAATTTTAAAGGTTTGTACTTTTGTATTTATTATAATTGCAGTTATTAGATATAAAAAATCGATTTTTCTTTGAAATATTTACACTGCAAAACAACGTTTTGAAATGTAAAAACTCTACTATGCTTGTGTTTCATACATACAGCAATTAAAATGCAACAAAACAGGCCAAGAAATATCAGGCATACCAACTGTTTTGGAGTCAATATCTGTTAATAAAAGTTCTTAATTTTTCATTGCCTAATAAATGCTTATCATATTTCATATTTTCATATTTCTTTATTAAAATGGTTTCGCAGTGGTGAAAATTACAAATTAAAAAACTATATTATATTAGAAATATTATTGACAAAAATTTGTTGTTAAGTGATTATCTGCTTCTTGTGGTTAAGATGTACTTCCAAAAAGCAGCTCAATCTCAAAGTTGTAAACAATTTGATGAAGATTGAGAAAATAATCTTTATAAAGTTGTTTTTGTTTTAATTTTAAAATCCTCACCAAAAGTTTACATAACAAGTTTATGTTTGAAAAAAGAAGTTGATGAGTGTATTACCTCAATGCGCCAATCTGAATTTAAGATAAGGGCTGTTGTGACAGATAATCATTCTACCAATGTTAATGCATTTTTATAGTTTCATAAATCATATATTGGTGATGGAAAACTATTAATTTATCATTCAGTTTAAAAAAGGAGTGTATAAAACATACTTATTATTTGATATACTTCGTTTTATAAAAAATGTAAGAAAAAACTTATTAAACGCAAAAAAAAAAAAAATTCTTTTTTAATTGATTTTTCTAGAGACTATGTAAAGTTACTGCTAGTTACATTGCAGGGAATATATTTCTTAAAGTTTATTAAGAGATTAATTATTAAACAGGCAAGTAAAATTAATTATCAAGTCACATATTTTAGAAACATCCAATCTATGTTATCAGCTTTGCTGAGTTTGATTTATCCAATCAAACTCAGCAAAGCTGATAATAAACCCACACTTTATAGAGAAATTGTAAATAGCACTGAAATTTAATCAAAATAAAATTTGATAAATACTTTACATTAACTAAAAAAACTTCTTGTGCTCTTATAACAACCCTACAAGCAACTGTATCTCTTATGAATGATTTTTTTGAGGAAGGCTTTGCAGTTGTTCTTAGTTCTAATTTACAAAGTAATCTTTTGGAGCTAGGTTTTAGTAAGTATAATTAAAAACATGCATTAGTAAAAAAGTAAGTATAATTAGAAACATGCATTAGTAAAAAGATTTTCGCGGATTTTCCCAAAAAATATTTTATCAAAATTTTGATAATCATTAAAAAAAATTATGCAAGATTTAGCTTAGTTGTCTACATAATTACTAGTGTCAGCTTTTTAAAAACAGCACAGATTTATATACTAAAGCAAGGAATAAATGTAAAAATTAACAAAAAGATTTTTATGCTAAATTTATGATTAACAAATGTTACTTTATTCAGAGAAGAACCTTTACATGCAATTTAACCTGTCTAACTTTATTTGTCTTCTGTTTAGTATTTTATGCTATTTCTCTTATTCAAATAAAAAATTGCAGTCATTCTTTTTCAATTAAAAATTTGCAAAACAAATTTTATAGATTTGTTGTAGCAATGACAATTTTACAATGAAAAGCACCAAAAGTGGGGAATCAAATAAAGATCTCGTATTGTTAATAATATTTTTATAACAATTTGCAAAAAGAAGTTACATATTCATTGAGTAAAGATCAAGTAAAAAAATTACAAAAAAGGCTAAGACAAAATAAATATTCCTAGTAAAAAGGTATTTCTTCTTTTAATTTCATTTATAAAAAATACAAAACTACAAACCTTTGATTTTTTTTTCAATGAAGAGTATGAGACAATCTTAGCAACATGTAAGGTTATTTTTAGTAGCATGTTGGTATGTGTTGATATAGCTATCTGAAAGCCTATTTTAGTATTCTGTGTTATTAGAATAAACTGAAACAGGCGATCAGTTAACAAAAAATCCAGCACAAAATAGTGTGAGTACTCAAACAAAATCTAACTATTATTAAACCATTTTAATAAAATAAGAATAAACTAATTATAGTGCAAACAAGACTCATAACCATATAGAAAATTAAGTTTTTATACTTGAGCCGTAAAAAAACTGGCCTCTTAATTTTTTCCGGAAAATGCAACAAATCAGGCCGTGTAATTTAAGTAGGCCATGGTATTACTAAATTAGTCTACGCAGCGCAAAGATACAGCTGCCGATTTTTAATTTAAAAAGGAATCTTTTATTCAAAAGATTGCCTGCCCAGGCCAAAACCCTCCGCCTATGTATGTACGTTCCACTACACCAATCCTTAGATAGTCAGTCGATGTATACACACTCCACTTCGCCAATTTCTAGATAGTCAGTAGACGTGTGTACACTAAATTGTGTTTACCCCTATATCAGTATACAAGTATATATTTGCAACCTATAAAAAGAAACAATCAGATTTCACTACTTGCTGAATTCCGATTGGTTCATTAATAGTCACAATGACTATTGTGACTATTAATGAACCAATCTTGTGACTTTAGGCACAAAAATTAAAGCAACAGTACTGTTGCGCTAGACACAGCGTTTAGTTAAATTAAAAAACATCAAATTATTATTTAATTCCAATTTTTTTTTTTCTTCTTACTTTTTAATTTTATCGATAAAACTTTAAAGGTTGACAGTTCTTAGTGGGTGCGGGTGGGGCAGTGAGGAAGGAGTGATTTTAAAAACAAAATACCCCCTCCTTAACTGGGGGATGGGCTTTTTATATAAAATGATTTTTGTAATTTTTATAAAATTTCGCTTTTTTTTTAAACCCAACAAATTATACTTTTAAAGAATTTTTTTTCAAAATATTATTAGGGACCAGTTTGATGTTTAATGGTCTTGAGCGACCCCTAAAATTTTTTTTATTCAAAATTTTTTTAAATTTAGCGTTAATTTATTACATAGAACACATTTAGGGGGTTGCAGTAGACAATTTCAAAAAAATTTATTTTTAGAGGCACTCTAATATATATATATATATATATATATATATATATATATATATATATATATATATATATATATATATATATATATATATATATAAATATATATATATATAAAATGTTGTTTTAATAAATGTTGTTTAAGGAAATTATCGTTTGACTTAAGCAATGTCCCAATTAGCGAAACTTTCTAAGTTTTGGATTTTTTGAAAATATCTAACTTTGAGATCAAATCTATAATAAGAAAATATAAAAAAAAACTTACAAACACTTGTTGCTTAGCAACTTTTTTTAAGTACTTATACTTTTTTTCGTAATCTTTGTGAGATTTCTAAAAGCAAAAAATATAAATATATATGAAAACTCGAAAATCAAAGATGCCAACTTGTTTTATAAATAAAAATAATAAATAATATATACCATAAAATAATTTAAAAAAAATATAAATAACAATAATGATAATAATAAGGTTAATAATAATAAAAAAGCAATTTCTTTATTAATAATAACAGATAAATGGTTGATAATAAAAGGTTGGAAAAGGTTGGAAATAGTTGAAAAACATTTTCTCTTTATGTTAAAGTGTGTTAAATGTGCTTATGTGAGTTTAAAAGTGTACTAATTATATATTTATGTGAGTGTCTAAGTGTACTAATTATCTAATTATATTTATGTGAGTGTATTTAACTTATGTTATTTAAGACACTCATAGAGTGAGAAAAAAAGAGTTTTTCTCAATCTATGAGTTTTTTTAACTTTTTATAATTTATGAAAGAGCAGTTTTGCTAACTGTTCTATCAACTATGCTGATCAAATAATGGACAAACTAAATTATTTAAATAACAAATAATTTTTGGAAAATTATTTAAATAATTCAAGTAATTTAAATAATTATTATATTAACAAACACATTTTTAACAAAAATGTGTTTATTAATAAACACATTTTATATACAATCACACAAAAATGAACAAAATTTTTTTTTGAGCATATAGAAACAGTCACAATAAAAGAATGAGACTTAATTAAATGACAAGTAACACAAGAATGAATTTTAGTAAATAGCACAAGAGACACTAGCTCTTTAGAGCAGCATCCATAGTTATAGTATTTATAGAAAAGAGAAAGAGAAGCAACATTAAAATGATGCGACAATAGTTGAAGGTTGGCTGCAAGAACAGGTTTACTATGTTTACATGGAAAAATCAAGATAAGACAAATTAGAGATTTATAAAAAGATACGTATAAGCAGATGCTAATTTTGCATCTTATATCATCCATAAACAATTTTGATATATGGTTTTCAAAAAAGATCGAAAGTAATCCTAGAATTAATCCTAGAAATAGATCCTAGAGTTAATCCTAGATGATAAAAGGTAAATGATTCATTGAGTACATTACCGTTCATAAATATAGAAACAGGGCTCAATTTAACGGTCAGACATCGGACATTATCCGGCTAAAACCTCAGATTGTCCGCTCAATTGATGATTTAAACGTTTTAGAAATGCGCTGGTAAAGAAACGTTAACCTAAACTTAAACAAGGAAAAAAACTTTAAAAATTAAAGAATAAGCAAAACAATTCCTTAGGAAAAAGAAAATAAATTAGCTTTAAAATAAAACTAAAAAAACCCGAACTAGAAATTACTTTTTGTTACATTGCATTTGAAAAAAATAACTTTAAAACTGATCTTTTAAAACGTTTAATAAAGGTTACTTTTACAAATTACTTCTATTGATTGTTTATTAAATGAACAAATTTATTTATTATTGAAAAAATAAAAATTTAATATTTTTAATTTGTATAAACATTTTTTTTTAAAAAGTTGCAAAAAAAAATTGTTTAAAAAAATAACTTTTTCTTTTTAATATCAAAATTTTTAACGATTTTATATTTAAATAAGCCAAGTTTAAAAAAAATAACTTTTAAACAATTCGTTGTAAAAATAGAAACAAAACAAAAATAAAGCAATTAAATCGTGGGAAGATATAAGTTAACTTATTTATAATTTAAATTAACTTAAAAAATACTCTTTTAAAAGATTTTTAGAATGACATGGAAAAATAGTTTCAAACGTTTAAATTTATCATTAAAAATACATACGTAATAAAAAAAATAATTAAATATAACATTTAATTTACACATAATGCGTTTATTTTTAATCGATCACTATAACTAATTTAAAGCCTTCGCGTAAAATAAAAACTTTTAAAAATATCAATTATTTAAAGTTATTCATTTACAGCGTGAAATTTTAATTTAGTCTATCTAAAAAAACGTACAATATTAATTTAAACTATTTTATTAAAAAATAAAAATCTACGATGAGTTATTCTAAATAGTAAGGAAAGCAACTACAGCTTCACTAGACTAACGTTAAATAAACTGAATAACATGACAAAGATTTTGATTGCATAACTCGATTCTATAAAACCGCAAAAATTATATTTCAAAAATTTGATCAGACACTGCCCAATCAAAACAAGTTTTGATTGGACATTTTGTCCGGGACTTTATAAAAAAATTAAATTGAACCCTGTAGGAAGATCTAGATTATTGCGATAAAGATTAGCTAAAAAGTTTTATTTGAATTAAAGTTCACCAACCACTGAGAGCCCTATGCTGTAGCAGAAGTGAGATCCTTTTCAAGCTCAAATGACCCTCCAAGCAATCAGAGTGTTGGCTTCTTATCAAGACAAGAATAAATGTTAGTATTATCAGCGAACAAGGCCACCTTAGATGTGAGAATATCTGGAACATTGGTAAAGCAAATTAAAAAGAGTAGAGGGCCAAGGATAGAACCTTCAGGAAACGCTGAAGTTACAACAAATGAAGAAGAGTGCTGTCCATTGAGGACAACTTTTATACTACAATTGGTAAGGAAGGATTCAAGATAATCTTAAAGATGTAACCTGATACACTGTAAGAAGTTAACTTATGGAGAAGACCAGCATGCGAAACTTTATCAAAGGCTTTAGAAATGTCGAGAGTGATAGCCTAACCTCTCCACATCTATCTAATGCATGATAAAATGTTTCAGTTATTACTGTTAACAAAGCAGCAGTAGAAAGAGAAGATCAAAATCCATATTGATGATCACAAAGTAAGTTATTAGATTCAAGATGAGAGATTAAGTGTTTCTTAATTAAAGACTATAAAATATATATTATTTTTTATAGATTGTGATAATTGACTAATTACTTCAGCACACAGACAAACATTTTATTTCTGGTTCAATATGATTTAAAAAAACACAATTTAATTGTTTAATGATGTTCTAATTTAGTAACGAATAAGCCAATTCAATTTCATCAATTTTGTTGTGATCATTATCAGTCTCAAATTCTTCAGAATATTTCTTTTTGTATATCAACAACAGCAAGATGAATACCATAGAAGTGAATGAATAACATGGGAGTGATAAAGTTGATGAGCAATATTCAAAAGTTTTCCTAATTTCTTCATCAAACCAGCACCATCAGTAACTAAGCCAAGAATTTTTTGATCAAAATTTAAATTGAAATCTTTAAGCATTTTAAATGCTTTTTCTGCAGAACTATTAATCCTTAATGTCCTCAGTTCTTTCAAAATACAAACTTAAACTTTTTCATTGATGTTTATTATCTAAAGATAATGAAAAATGAGTACCTACTTACTTTTTTCTACTTTTTTTAAGTCATCTTCTAAATTATACTTTTTTGCAATATTTCAAAATTATTTTTTATTCCATGCCTATTACTTGAAGTTGTTAAGTTTTTAATATTAATACTTTTCTCAAACTTAAAAATCGGAATACTGCAACAAGACTTTTTCATTTTCAATTTTTAAATCTATTATTTCTTTTAAACAAAATTTAAAGTTTACTATTTTGTTTACTTTTATAATGAAAAATACATAAAAAAATACGTTGCCTCAGTTAGGAGAAGTGTCTAGTTTGCTAAACGAGCAAGAATAAAATGTAAACAAAAAGTTGTAACTCAAATTTTAAAAAGTTTTAAAGTCAAAAAAAAATAATAATAATAAGATAAAATTTACGTTCTCCTTGTTTTTTTTTAAAACTGGGTAATAATTATTATTTTTTGAAATATTTAGATAATCATTATTACTCTAGGCATTGTTACATCCTATGTAACGATGCCTAGAGACCCCAGAGTTAACAAAGGCTAAAAATTGTAATGGAGAAAAAAAAAATCCTATGTAATAACATAAAAACTTTTTTTAATAATTATCTATAAAAGTTTTATATCACAGAAAAACTTCCTAGTAGTGAGAAACCTCTCAGTATATAAATTTGCTTTATAATTACTATTCTCTAATAATAAAAAAAATAAACCTCTAATGTTTTCTTTTTCTCTTCTTTCTTCCACTTCTTTCCTCCTTCCATTAATTATTATAATTTTTTTAAATATTTAATAAGTTCTTTAAAATAAAATCAAACTTTTTAAAAAATTTAATAAAAAAACAACATATTATACAAAAAAGTCTTCATTAGTCTAGAATTGAAATGCATTATTTTAAGAAAGAAGTATGTTATGGAGAATTTTTAGTTCAGTAAAAAGAAAGTTTCATTTCTTATCATACTTTTACGTACTTACTTACATAGTTCTTGCCATACTTTTTATGTGCAAAATAAACAACAACAAAAAATACAGAAATTTTTTCAAAAAAATTACATATCAATATTAAAAAAAATCATTAAAAAATAAATAAAATAAAAACTAAATTATATAAATTAAAACCAAATAAAAATCAAAGCATTTCATTATAAAACCTTTCTGTATTAAAATTGTTATAAGTACACAAATACAAAAGTTACAAATTATTACTATTTAATATTTAAAAGTTACAAATTTTTACTAATTAATAAGTTACAAACTTTTACTAACTTTTCTTCACAGTTTTATGGAGTTTTCATTGTACGATTTTTTTTTTAATTTATCATTGTTTAATAAATAAAATAAAATATTTTGATTGTGAACTATAATTGATTGTGAAGTATAAATTAAAAAATAATTTCAAAAATTCAAAATATTTATATATTGCTGACTTCTTAATGATTATCATATCTTATGTTGAAAAATTTTATTGATCCAAGTATTTGAAATTTTACAAGGAGCTTGGTACCCAAGGTCCTTTACTATTCAAAATTTGTCATAGAAGACAGCAACAACTTAAAAAGGTACCCTGAAGACAACATAAACATCTGTTGCTGAACAAAGTAAAAATAAGATCAGGTCAATATATTTGTATGGTTCATCAAGGCCAAAAAGATAAGCTATTAAGAAAATAACTATTTATCCACAGTGATAATAAGCAATAATTCTAGGCAGAACAGTTATAACAAAATTAAACAAGCTTTGGTCTCAACATGATGGTTAGGGTGGTCAATGTAAAAATGAATAATTATCACATGGAATAACATCATTATAATATATTGCAACAACCATCGAAAGAAATGAAGAAGTTGAAGAAGACGTTCAACTCGTGGGATAAACTTATTAAGAACTCAAAACAAGATGCAATTTAAAAAATGAATGAAACTTTTTTTAAGACAGAGATGGACAAACTGTTTGGAAACCACATGTTGCAAATGAGGCAATCAAGTGCTTTAAAGATTGACCAACTTAAGCATTTATATTAGTCTATACCATGAACTTCTTTAAAATACTAATCAACCACGTTTCTAACAGAAATAGAATCAGATCAGTGGGAACAAGATGCAGAAGTGCCAAGAAGTGTTCTGAGAGCCTGAGAGTGGTAAACGATGTTGCCAAGCAAGGAGTCAAACTCATTTAAAATTTTAACTCATCCTTCACAAAAAATGAAAAACAAAAAAATGAAGGAGCATTTGCTACAGGTCGTCTCAGAGCACAGTACCAAGTTTCCTAAGTAACCTTTGCAGCTGACTTGACTGAATAACTGAGACAAAACATGAACAATAAACATTTAAATCTTCTCAACACTAAATACTGTCAGGCGTATAATAATATATAAACCAGAATTTTAACTTAATTAATAATCTTTAGTGTTCTGATCTGGTATCTGGTATTTAGTTAATATTAAATTTTTTTGATATTATCATTTTGTGTGTGTGTGTGTGTGTGTGTGTGTGTGTGTGTGTGTGTGTGTGTGTGTGTGTGTGTGTTGTGAGAACAACAAGTATGAAGAAATTAAGTAAAATTTGAAAGTTCTGAGCAACCTCTAAACCTCAAACAATCAAATTAATATTTAACAGTTTACTAAGGTATCATCACAATTTGAAAAGAATGAAATTACAACTTTCAATTTTTTGGACCACCCTAATGATAGTGGTATAATATAATGGTGTGTAATATGATGTTGCATAATATGATAGTGTATAATATTATGGTGGTATGCTGGTGTATCTTATAACTAAAAAAGAAAAAAAAAGAAAATTTCTTGTAAAATAGTCCTTGATTTCAAGTAAAACAAATTTAAAAAACAAATTTTTAAAGTTATGGCCAAATCAAATTAACATTATTGATTGAAATTTAGGTCGAAAAGGTTTAAAGAAGTTTTTTGAATTTCTAAGTGTTTGATTGAAGTGATGGAACCTAGAGATTTTTTTTTGTAATAAAAAATTGTAATATTTTAAATATTAATTTTCTACAAAAAATTTAATTCTTTTATTGTTTCTTATTAAACTACTTTTAAATAAGTTATTATCCATAATAATCTGCTTTTTTAAAAAATTAATTAAATAATATTAAGTCACACGTGTGTCATATTTTAAATAATACGTGAATCACATGTGTGTGACACACATGTATCATATTATAAAACTTAATCTATTTAAGAGTTAACCATTAAAAAATTTTAACGACAACTGAAAAAGTAAACATACAATTTAAAATATACTAAGGCAGAGAAAAAGAAAAATATACTAAACAGATATGTTAAAAAAAAAATGTATTCAAGATTTTTTTCAATTTAAAAAACTGCTACAATAAAATATATACAATGCCAATTAAAAAAACAAATAGTTTATATATTGGGTTTTGGAATGGCTTTAATTCCAGAAAATAGTAAAAATCCTAAAAAGAAAAACACAATCAAAGAAAAATCATCTTTGTTGCTGTTGATATCTTTGCCAAGTATTTCAAAGAAAGTCACGTATACAAAAGTTCCAGTTGATAATGCAATGAGAACTGCAGAGATAACATTATTAGTGTCATTAGTAAGAGAGTTCACAATGACTAAACCAATTATTATTCCAATTGGTGTGGCAATCGCAAACGTAAACTTAAAAAACAATAAAGTTAAATTATAGTTTATTTATAAAATTAAATTAACTTAAAAAAATAAGACCACTTTTCAAAAACTTTAACAAAAAATAAACAAGTCAAGGAAACCATATTTTTTGCTGTCATAAATTAAATCAAAAATATCATTGTAATAGAACAGCTATGGTGTACTTTTTTGATTCTAAATGTTAAACGCCTTTTTTATTATTATTTTTTTTTTTGACACGCAAAATCAACTTTAAATAAGTAATTATAATTTATCTTTTTTTTTATTTAAAAAGCCACATCAACCAAGTTAGTAATAAAACAAATACCGCATGGAAAATAATGTCCTGTTAACAGTCAATGACTGCTGAAATTACTATTTTGACCTCCCAAAATGAATTTTTGCCAGTCATAGTTGACCAGTTGAAAAAAAATCAGTGTTTTGAAAAACAAGATTTGACAAATAATCATATGGAAAATGTATATACTACAATTTCATAAAATCATTTAAGTTTTGAAAAACCATTTAAAATAGTCTTGATGCTTAAGATATGCCATTTAAATTATTATTTATAATATGCTTCTTCAATTATTATTTATAATATGCTACTTAAATTATTATTTATAATATGCTACTTAAATTATTATTTATAATATGCTACTTAAATTATTATTTTAATATGCTACTTAAATTATTATTTATAATATGCTACTTAAATTATTATTTATAATATGCTACTTAAATTATTATTTATAATATGCTACTTAAATTATTATTTATAATATGCTACTTAAATTATTATTTATAATATGCTACTTTAATTCATTTAAATGACAAATATTATATATGACGTAAAGTAATATTAATTTTTTTGATTCACTTATTTAGATTACATTCAATTTATTGGAGGTCAAAACAATTTTTCATATTTTGATTAAAGTTATTATTTTATTATCATTTTATTAAAATTATTTACTATTTTATTTAATAATAGTATAATATAAAATAATTGCTCAATTTACCTAAGAACATTTTTTCTTTCAACTGTACTTAGTCAATTTTTTTTTTTTTTTTTTTTTAAATATCAAAAAAAGTGGTCCAATAACAGAGCCTTGGGGAACACCACTCAACACATCAATCCAATCTGAACAAACCTCACGCAAAACAACATGCTGCTTCCTGTTGTTGAGAAAGTCTTTTAACCAAACTATTATTTTATTACAATAACCATAACCAGACCATTTGAGTTAAAGCGTGTAGTGAGACACTCTCTAAACGCCTTGGCAAAAGTCCAAGAGAATCAGCATGGCAGCACATCCATCACGATGCATTTCATTAATAATATCTAGCACCTCTAGAGTTGCGCATGATTTTAATTTTGCAAATCCATGTTGATGTGGCAACAAGAGATTATTCAATTGCAGATGATCAGTAATGTTTGCCTGTTTCCAAACATAAGGAACCAGGCCTGACTTAAATAAATTTAAAAAAACACAAGTGAAAACTAAAACTTTTGTCACAGTTTTTCAATACAAATGTATGAATACCATCAATACTTTGATTAATTGAAGAAGAAAAAAAGTGCAAACGCGCTACGGATAATTTTAAATTTATCTAAAAATATTTCATTCAATGCAATGACTCTGCATATGGCAGAAAAAGCTATGAAAAAATAAATAAAAAGTTTTAATAAAAAAAACAACAACATTCAGTTAAAAGAGAAAATGTTGTTAGCTGCATACAACAATTTTAAATAATAATAATAAAATAAGAACTTCAATCTTTAAAGTTAACAATGTTAAAGAAGAAAAATGATTGAACATTTTATTTCATCAAAATCATTTCTCAAACTGATAATGCTAATTAGTTAGTAATAATATTACCATATGCACAGATACACGTTATACACAGATACTATTTAAACTAAATACTTAATATTAAAAAGAAAACTTTATGAAATACTATAAAAAATACTAATGTTACAAAAAATAAGATTTTTACTAAATATATATGTTTTTTAAGAATCCTATTAGCAAATGCACAATCCTATTGCAAATGCACAATTACTTATTTTAAATTTAATTATAAACCATTTATTAATTTTTTGCAGTTGGCCCAATAAAGTTACAATAAAATAAATAAAAAAGATTTAAAGAAAAAACTAAAAGTGACTAAGTAAAGTTAAAAAAAAAAAAATTTCAGTTAAATACAGTAATTATTATATATTATTATATTATTATTAAAATAATATATTGAATATTTTATGAAAAAAAGATTTTCAATACCAAAAAAATAAAAGTAATCCATGACCTTTTATAATAACTGGCCTTGACATCGCGCAATAAAGTTGTTTAACTGAAGGCCAATTTCTAATACTGTGTTTACATTTTCATCTTTTAACATAAATGAAAGTTTGCCTTGGCGGTTTTTTAATAAATCTTTTAAATTCAATTGGTTTATCAATTAGATAGCGCAACTCTAAGACGTAAAAGTTAACTTTGGAAGGTAATAGTATTGTCGAACTAACAATAAGATATTTAAATAATTAAAATGCCTTTAAAATGCTGCTTACCTCTTTCCAAGTCTATCACTCAACTACAACAAAAATATCAATTTATAAATTCCCGAAGAATCTAGAGGAGAGAAAAAGATGGAGTCATGCTATCCTAAGAACTGGTTTTATTGTTTCAGACTATACAGCAGTATGTTGACTGCATTGGCCAGATAATGCACCTTTTGAAAGCGAATATAGGAAGCAATGGCCTTTAAATCCACCATCCGTTTTTAAAAATATTTCGCCTAGTTGTTTACTCAAACCACCAAGTAAAGTTAGAAAAACTGCAATGTCAAGCCATTTTGGAAACATTTTACCAGATGAGTTAAATAATTTTCTAAAAGAGGATGAACTTATATTTGACAATATTTAATCTTTGTTAAGTGATAATAACTTAACAAAGATTAAATATTGTTTAATCTTTGTTAAAATGTTATTGTTTCCAACTTGATAAAAAAAGTTTACGTATTCAATCAAAAATGTACAAACTTGGTACTCCATTATTTCTTTTAGAAATTTTCGATGATTATTTATTTGAAACTTACCATAATCGCACAACTTGTAATATTTTATTTATTTGAGTTTTCATGCTATATTTTTCTAGACAATGTTCTTATATCCAAAGATATTGTTGGCCTAGCATAGGAACAGCCACAAATAGTCATTAAGACTAATCCAAAATAGCGTCCATTATTGACCAACATTTTTTGCGTACCGAAGTCTTTAGCTGTAAACAAATTAAAGTTAATAAAAACAAAATCAGCTTTATTTGAAGGCGTTAGATTTTTATAAAATTAAGAATGTTTGCATCGTCAAATATTCTATTTGAGCACCTTAATGCTATGAAAAAAAGTTAATGTAGGTGAAGTTTTATATACTCCAGTTATTATATGTAGAACATATGAGTATTATACTATGCAACAAAACTTATATGATCGTCTGTGTAATAACTACAAGTTGCCAAGTATACGGACTTTAACATGATTGACTTCGAAAATAAGCTCAATCAAGGACCTAAATTTCGTAAATAGTATTTTTATGAATTTAAATCCATTGAAAAGAACTTCTATATTTCTAACTGATGAGGTTTATGTTAAAGCTTCATTACTTTACCAAAGAGGTGCTTTGTTTGGTTATGCAGTAAACTACTCTAAAAAGTTAGTTAAAACAATTTTATCATTTATGATTAAATGTCTTTTTGGAGGTCCAGAATTTATGTTATGTATTTACATTTTATGTGTTGAGATTTATTAATTTATGTTATGTATTTACACATAACATAAATTAATAAATCTTTCCTCTGAATTTTAGTTTGCCCAGTGTCAATAAAATTGTTGATACAATAAATAATATTGGAAATAGTAAGACACTGGAAATAATTACTGATGGTAACTGTGTAAAACAATGATTTTTTGAAATGTTTGATAGTAAACCATGGTTAAAAACATCAGGTATATATTTATTTTATGATTATGTGCATCTCTTAAAACCAATACAAAACAATTGGTTGACAGAGAAGACTGGTGAGCTTTAATTTTTTCACAATGGAGGACTGGCTTCAGCTAAGTGAGTAACTTAGAAACTTTAAATAAAACTGAGTGCAATAGTCTGAGTCTGAGTGCAAAGACTCTTCAAACTTACAGCTAAATCAGTTTATCCGAAACCAATAGAGACAATCTGTAAAGGTTTGTTTGTCTGTTTTATGTGTATAAACAGTAACTGCCATAAGAATGCATCCAGATATTGAAAATAAAGCATTCGAAGGTACAGCAGTACCTGTATTTATTGAATAAATTATATCTTTTAAGAATGTTAATAATGTCAAAGTACTTAATACTGGCATTCGGTTTAGAAATGAATTATCTGGAGAAATCCACTCAGTTGGTGACCAACAGTTACAACTGCTAGGAGATATTGTTGAACTGTCAAATTTTATGAAACCTACAGGGAACTGATTTTTGTTGGTATTTTTTTATTATTAGTGATTTTTATTGTTACCTTTTTTTTTAGTTGTGTTTCTATAAGCATTAAAAAAAAAAATACAGCTATCTTTCTAATATAAAGATATATACATTGTAAGTTTAATCAGCCTTCAGTTTTTACGGTGTTTTGCAGGATGTTAAAGCCTGTTATTATAGAAGGCCGTGAAGTAATCAAAATAAGTTAAGCAAAAGAATTATTAGATCTAGTTTATGTCATATATAATATCTGTCAACTAAGCTAATTAAAACAGCTTATAGTAAACAATAAAACTTTTTAAAAAGCTTTTTCAAAATGATTTTATGAAATTGTAATGTTTCCTGATTGTTTGTTTTTAAAAACTCTGATTTTTTTTTTCAACCAATCGGCAACCGGCAAGAATTCATTTTGTGAAGCCCGAAATGATAAAAATAGCAATTTTTATCATTTTGGGCAGTCATTAACTGTTGACCAGCCAATGTGGTTATTTTCAACATTATTATTTTCCACACTTAACGAGAATCAAGAAAAAAAACCAGAATTACAAAACATGTGAATTTCTATTGACTGCATCAAATTACGCAAAAATTGAATCATTTATAACTTTTAATTAGATTTTTAATTAAAAACAAAAATTAATAGCTAATACAGTCGCTGTTCACTTCCAATACCAATTCCGAAAAAAACTAATTCCAACACTAATTCCAAAATTTCTCGATGTTACCTTCAACCTGTTAGAAAACACTTTCCAGCCATACAGAAAACCAGGTGACCACCCATTATACATCAGCATAAATTCTAACCACCCCCCTAGTATTACTAAATCCAACTATGATATCTAACTGTATTAGCAACATTTCATCTAGCAAGGAAGTTTTTGATAGAGCAACATCATTTTATAACAATGTGTTAGCAGCAAGTGGGTATAATAAAATAATTATTTTGCAAAAAAACCTTGCCTCATCAAAACCAAAATCAAGATCACGAAACATTATTTGGTTTAATCCTCCATTTCTTAAAGTGTTAAAACCAACGTCGCAAAAAATTTTCTAAATTTAATCTAAAAGCATTTTCCAAAAACATATAAGTTTCGCAAAATTTTTATTAGGAATAATTTAAAAGTCAATTATAGCTGTCTTCCAAACATCAACAATATTATTAATTCACACAATAAAAATGTATTATCTAATGTTTCCAACATAGTTGTTCCAATGTGTAACTGCAGGCAACCTTCACAATGTCCTTTGCAAGGCATACCTTAGTAAAAATATAACTTGCATCTGCAATGTAAAAACATCACTGCTGGATAGTGGTTTAAATTATATTGGTTTAATGGAGCACAGAGATTTCTAAATATATCTGGGAAATGAAAAAAAAAGGATTTTCAAATCCTATTCTTAGGTGGAAGATTATTGATAGGGCAAAATCATTTAACCCTGGATGAAAGTTATGCACTTGCGTGTGCTCTTGTATGAGCACACGCAAGTATTTTATTTTAGACAACTTGGTCACGGCTGTTTGCAAGTTTTATAATATTAATCATTGCAGAAAAAACTTTCAAAAACAAAAAAAGCAAAACTAACAAAATAGGAAATAAAAAGAAATTTAAATAGAAAAAAATAAAATAAATTAATAATTTAAATTATTTGTGTACTGTTTTTAATTTTGTTTCTTTAGAGTCGTTGTTATTTTCAGCAACAAAATTAGATAAGGTGAAGCGAAAAAAAAAAACAGCTTAAAGTCTACATTAAAAAGAATGATTTTCCTTTTATTTAACTTTTCTTTTTTTAAAAGCGAAAATATAAATTGCAATGTGTTTGTAAAATTTGTTTAATTTTAATGTAACAAATTTTGTCCCTTTATGAAAAAGTTCATGTAATAAATGAATATACTTTTATGTATAACTTTTTGTATTATATAATTATATTTATTTCCTCCTAATTATACACACATTTTGCTTATTTGGATAAGACGTAGACTTCGTAATCGGAATGTTCCTGGTTCGAGACTAACCTCTTCTTAAATTTTTTTGTCTTTTTACACATGCAGAGCCGAATGTTAAAAAGAAATGTGTCTCTGTTAAAATGTAAGGAATAAAAAATACACAGGAAAAAAAAGGTAATATGAAACAATTAAGGCTATGTGTAGACAGCATAGCCTTAATTGTTTCATATTACCTTATATTTTATATAGAAATAAGAAAAGATAAATGGTTACAAAGTAAACATATCACTAGCAATATTTAAAAGAAAAACAAAAAAAATGTGGATAATTGTAGGAATCGAACCACAGACATTTGGTCTATGAAGTTTACATCTTATCCAAATAAGCTAAACATGCATATAACTAGGAGAAAATAAATAAAACCATATAACACAAAAAGTTAAACATAAAAATATACGCGTGCATTACATAGACGTTTTCTTATAGGGACAATATATACTTGTTACATTAAAATTATACAAATATATTTTACAAACAGGTGACAATTTATGTTTTCACTCTTTAAAAAACAAAACAAATAAAATATAGGAAAATCATTATTTTTAATGTTTAAAACTGTTTTTTTTTACTTTGATTTACTGAATTTTGGTGCCGAAAATAACAACTGAAGAAACACAAATAAAATTAAACAAATGATTTAAATTATAATTATTCAGGCCTCGGCTGGAATAAATGAGTACAAGAGCAGAAAAAAGCTCTCCTAATATGAACTTGGGGAGCTGTGCGAGCTGCACTTCATTTAAATCAGCGCTCTTTATTAATTCTTTTTTTTTTTTGCAACAACCATGCCTTTTAAAAAGCATTTCAGTATATTATGCAATTAATTTTTTCTAAATGACATCATTATGTCATCTTGAAACTATTGAATAAACAAAATAAATTAATATCAAAATGTCACCAAGAAAACAAAATTGTTATCTACAACTTAAACGTCATCTAAGCTAACCCTGAATTTGCATTTTTGTATATAATGTTGTTATGGTTATTTGTAACGTCTAATGATCGCATAAACCGTGAAACTCTGAGTTATGTTACAAATTTAATTGTATTCTATAATTATCTTAATATAATACATACTTGCTCTACTTTTGTATTGAGGGTAAAATCTTAAAATGTTATCTTTTCAGCTTATTTTTTAGTTCCATTAAAAGTAATAAAATTACTTTTATTACTGATATATATACATATATATATATATATATATATATATATATATATATATATATATATATATATATATATATATACACACACACACACACACACACACACACACACACACACACACACACACACACACACACACACACACACACACACACACACACACACACACACACACACACACACACACACACACACACACACACACACACAAACATACATACATACATACATAAAATAAAAACCTACTGCTTGTTTAAAATGTAGCTTTAAACCTTCATGAGTGCTAACAATTTTAACTCCAACAAAGAATCCCATTAAACACTTATGGATTGCGAGTATTGCAATTAGTTGAATGAAACTATACAATGAACTTTGCAATCCCAACATTAGTCCTTCAAACAATGAATGAACAGAAAAAGCCAAAATTAAAAAAAAAATTCTTAACTTTGACTTTGATTCTATAATGTTCAAATGAGATGAATTCTTGTTCTTTATGAGTTTATTTATTTGCAGATTACAAACAAGATCTTGTGTATAATCAATACTATCTTGTGTATAAACAATACTATCTTGTGTGTAGACTGTCTCATGTTGTTGACTGTTTTGAAGATTGCTTATAATCTGGTCGTTTGCAAATATAGTACCAGAATCACAATCAAACGGACTGTTTTGCTGTGTTACATGATGGTATGAACTATTAGATGAATATGATATTTTTGTACCATTCTTATTGTCTAGCAACAATTTTTTTTCATTTCCTAAATGAAAATAAAAACAGTAAGATAAAGAAAAAAAGAAAGTAAATAAAAAAGTCATTAAGTGAGTTTTATTTAACTTAACATATTCTAAAAAATAAATTTTAAAAATAAAATAAACTTTAGTTTATTTTGTTTAAATTAAAATTTACTTTATAAAATCTTTACATTTCTATAAATTCATAAACTTACTTATACCATTATTTGCATCAGTGTACTCTACAAAAGGATTACTTGGTTGTTTGATTTGGTAGTAATTTGCAACCTTTTCAATGCTAACAAATATTATCAATCCAAAACAGATAATAAATTCAGCTATCGGATATATTCTTTGAACATCATTGAGAACTTTGGTTTTTATAAAGCTATCTAAAACATCTGGTATTAAATCTAAGAAACACAGTCCAAGAAAGAGCTAAACAGAAAATATGGCAAAAAAAAATAAATATATCATTAAATCTAATACAAAACAAAAAAATAATAATAATAATAAAAACTATGCTATTAAATCTAACACAAAATAAGAAATAAAAATAATATCCCATTTAATCTGAGTAACACAAAACAAGAAAAAGATAAATAAAAAAAAATATGGTAAAAAATATCATTAATAAATTTACTCCCAACAAAAATGAAAATAAATTGAAAGATGCAAGTTGAAACTTAACAGAAAGCAAAAAAAAGAGATAAAGAATAAAAAAACAGAAGAAAGAACAGTTTACGGAAGACTGAAAAAACAGAGGATTGAAAAAAAAAAACTGTAAATTGTAAGAGTATGTAATAATTTTACAAGACCAAATTTATTTAGATTTATATTTTATATTTAATTATACTATTTTCTAGTCTTCCATTTTCTCTGCTTAAACTAAATTATTTAGATTATGTTAATTTATGCTAAATTATGTAAATTATGTTTATTTATGCTAAATTATGTAGATTTTTTTTAAAATTGTGGCAAGCATATAGGTGCTCAATTTTCATTTTAAATTTTAAAAATAATTAAATTTTTTTATTATACTTTAAATATAAAATTATTTTTTTAATTAGAGCACAGTTGTAAATAGCGTTGCTATATTTTTAAATATTATACTTTTAAGTTTTATACTTTTAAATTTAAACACATTTTTTTAATCGTGTCCAATGTCAGAACTGAATTTAAATAGAATAGAATGAGACAATCAAATTTTTTATTGATCGAAGCTATTTAAAATCGAATTTGAACTTTCTTGGTTAGGATAGAATCATTTACAGTCAAACTTTTTAGGATCAAATTTTTTTAATTAAGTTATTAAAACCAGTTTCAGTCGAATAATATATAACCTCCATTTTGGACTGAATCTTCTAGAATCAAACCAGTTAAATAAATTTTAATGTATGCAATAGTCTATTAAATAGTATATTAAATATTATATTAAATAATACATTAAATAATACATTAAATAATACATTAAATAAACAAAATTATTAAATCTGCTGTTGATCCTCTGCATACTGGACAGTGATTAATAGCACTACTTTGAATGGCTTCAGCACATTGCTGGCATAGACAAAGATGGCGGCAAGGGAAAACAACAACTTGAAGACTGTTGACGAGGTAAACTTTGCAGACATTTTCGATTGGTCTTTCCACTACAGCAGCTTGTCCATTTGATTGAGATTCTTCATCAGCAGTTTGTTCCTAAAAAAAGTATAAATATAAAAAGTCTAACTATTAAAATTCCTTGTCATTATCTCAACAAAGGGATGTCTCCAATTGTCAAAAACAACAACAACAAACCCCTAACATGAATATAATGCAGTAAATAGTTTTTGTTTATTGTTAAAAATTGTAATTAATTATCTAACCTGTTCAATGAATTCTTGAACTTCCTGATCACTTGGCATTTTCATATTGTTGCAGAGGAATGATGCAGCTTCAAGAAATTTGGTTGCAGTCCACTCACCATCTGCAAGCTTTTCTTCATACCCACGAAGACGCTCATGCTGCCTTTGACGATCTTGACGCATTTGATCTTGAACCATTTTGGATCTGGAGCATCTCAACTTTCATTGGATAGATTACCTAAGTTCATTGGATAGATTATCATTTCATTGGATAGATTTTTTAAGATTGATTTTTTTAAATTAATTTTAAGGATAGGATCTCAACTGCTGCATCTATTGGATCAAAACACTAAAGTGCTATTATATAAAGACTTACATTTTGTTGAAGCTTGCCCAAGAAATGCCAAAACTCAGGACATGCATTCATTGAACGATTCATCTTGGAGTGTAAGGATTCAAAGACATTGTTAGTATGACGATGCAGGCCATGAATAGAAAACATCTCAGGAGATTTTTGGAGCACCCAATACCTTTCGTAATACTGAACAAACTTTTTCATTTTTTTTATCAGCAATGACACTGTGATGGTTAGCTTCAACTTTTAGTTTGTCAACTTCAGGCCTTACTAAATTGGGTGGTAGCAAGCACATGGAAATGAACTTATGACACCATTTTCTGATGATTCATTATTCCTGGTGTATTCCACCTGCCAGGCTTTCACAGGAAGACGTGCGATTTCACGTCTTTATATGACCACGCAAAAAAAAAAATGTTTTAACAATTTGACCACGGCATTTTTTTAAAATTTAAAAACGCGCTACAAAAACTTACCTAAACTTATCTGAAAAAAAAATTTTTTTTAAATAATAAATATTAACGAAAGAGAAAATAAAAAAAAATACTTAGTTAAAGCAAAAACACAATAAAATAAATATATATATATATATATATATATATATATATATATATATATATATATATATATATATATATATATATATATATATATATATATATATATATATATATATATATATATATATATATATAACGCAACTAAAACAAAACTAAAATGCGTAGTCTATTTAATTTACGCATTAAAAAGATTTTTCATCTTTGTTTCAACATTTTTATATATTTTTTATTTATTTAATATGTTCAAAAGTTAAATATTTCTCATAAAAAATACATAGTTATATAAATAAAATAAAAAAATATTTTAAATTAATTAGAAGCGTTTTTTTTTTATTCCATTAAAAGCGTTTCGATAATATTAAAGCATTTAAGATCAAACTTATTAAATAGTAACGGTTTTCTAAAACTTTTCTTTTCAACAAAATTTTGTTTATCTTTTTAAATGCATTAACTTTAATCGTTCTTATATTTAAATTCGTTAAAGAGACTTTTGTAGTCGTAGAATGTCATCGTTTATAAAAACAAAACAACTTTTTATTTTTTAATAAGATTTATTTTAGAAATGAACACTTAAACAATTTATATTTTAAATTAAAAAAATATATACAACTGTGAATTATATTTAAAAAACAAAACTTTTTTTCAGTAAATTGTTACTTTATTAAAAATCGTTTCGCTAATATAAAAACATTTGTTAAGAAGTTTTGATGTAATTAATTTCACTTTTTTAGAATATTTTTTATTTAGCGCATTTCTAAAACGTTTTTTGAATTAGCCGCGGTAAAACCGTCATAGCAAAATGTAACTTGCGTGGTCATATAAAGACTTGAAATCGCACGTCTTTCTGTGAAAGCCTGCCACCTGCAGACCAATGGCCTTTTTTGAGAATTGCCTGGGCATAATGAAACCTGCAACCGGTTATTCTTATGTTTGGAAAAATAGCTTTGGCAGAGTTTCCGATTGCAGTTTTATAGTCAGCCATCACAGTCTGTGGCACTAAAGTTGGAGAAAGTTCGTAAAGCTTTTTTAAAACACGTAGGTAGAGACTTTCTTTTTGCCCAGTCATTAAGACATGCAGAACAGGCAGGCATTGTTCCAAACTCCAGTGAAATATCAACAAACAGGATAGTGGTTTCTGAAAAAGAGAAATGATTAACATTTTAAAATAGCTGGGATCTTAATTAATAAAAAATTAGTTTAGGTTTGGTTCCCTCATTTTGATGTTGAAATTAACATAGCTTAAAAATGACAAAATTTACCTGACAAATATGTCAGCAGTGTTGAAGAACAAAAGAACAAAGCTAACTGGTCCTCAAACTCTCCAAGGTCTTTGTAGATGTTAGAAAATGGATTGGGTTGCAACATGTTTAGAACTGCCTCATTTGGAGATTTAGGGTTTGTACTGTAGCGACTTCTTCGGGCACTCTGTAGAATTTGTTCACACTTTCTGAAAGTAAGTGCAGCCTTGACACCTTCATTTGAGAACTGGATTACATTGTTGTATATTTCACGCAAAGGTAGCTCTGTAGTTGAAGCCATGTCTTGCAGCAAGAGCTGGAAGGTGATCAAAATTTTGGGACCTAGTTCCACAAGTATGACCATGTATATATGACCATTTATTGTCTCAAGTAAATTAGCTGACAAAACTATTATTGCACTTCCGTCACAAAGTTGACGGCGTTTACACTTGAGATACACAAAACCATTCCTTATTTTTAATGTAACCAAATTCCCCAGCAACATACACAAATGTTTTCTGTTTGTCACCTTTAATTTTTCTGTATTTCATTTTGCTATTTTAAATTTAAACAAAGCTATATATATTTTCACATGCATTTGTTGGATTTTTTATGTTTACATAAAATTTTGCAACAAATAAATATATTATTTTCGAAAATAATAAAAACCTTTTTTTGCAGGATCATGTACACTTTAACCTTTAACACAAAAACCAGTTTGAAAAAATTATGCCGTCTTTCAACTGCATCACAAATGCATTAAAATTACAATTGTAAAAAAATTCGATTGTAAAAAAATTCAATGCTGTAAAAAGTAATTGAGTTTTAAAATTACAAACTCGATTGTAAAAAAATCAATTGTACAAATTCAACTGTAAAAAACTCAATGCTAAATTTGATTTATTTATTATTATTTGATTGTAAAAAGTAATAAAGTTTTTTTAAAGTTTTTTTTTGTTTCATTAAACTTTTAATGATATTCGATCATCTTATTTAATGTTCAATAAATTAGATTCTAGAAATTAGTAATATTTTTATCGATTCTAAGCAGTTTTTAGACAATTTGGTTCTAGAACATTTTCACAAAATCAGTTCTGGCATTGGACGCCTTTTTAATGTTGCTTTTTATTATTTTTCAATTTAGTACTGTCAAAATAGTTTTGTTAATTTTTTTCAAACTATGAACTGGAGTTAGGTGCGTCATCATCTAGCAGAGCTTTTTAAGTATTACATAAATGTACCAATGACCTAGCAAGAGATTTTTTTACCAAGTTACAAAAAAATCAAATGATTAATGAAAAATCAAACTAAGCAGTGACAATTAAATTTTTAATAAAATTACTAATTATTTTTAAATATCTTTTTAAGATCCTAATGAATTTTTCATACTATAAAGCAAGAAAACTAGTATACTGTTAGCAAATCTTTAAAGTGAACTAACCAAAAAAAGCTTTTTCCAGATTTTGAATTCTCAGCTGATAAAAATGTACTTTAAACACCTAAAATCTTTTTTTTTTTTTTTTCATAACATCAAAAAGTTAATATTAACTTTAATTAACAATTAGATATTTAAATAAACAACCAATACTGAATCATTACTAATATGACCAAGAAACAAATAGCTTGGTTATTAAAAGTACATTTACTGTTATCATGGTTGAAAAAACAGTTGTTTTTTTCATTAAGTTAAAAATCAGCTGTACTCTCTCTCTCTCACTTAATAGTTTTGCTTATCTTTATAACGCTTTTTCAGAAAAAGACAAAGAATAATAAAAGAAAAGATTGCTGCCCATCCTAAACCCTCAGTCAATGTAGTGGTACTCCTTTATGGCAACATACTATAAGATAGTTCATGTATGACTGAAGCCCCCGATGGCAGGAAATTCAATATGACAACATACTTCTTATCTAAACACACATTTATAGTAGTGTAAAGAGTTTGGACTGTGGTAATTGTTATAAAACAATAACAGAAACAATAACTATTGCTATTGTATTAACTTTTTCAGAAACAATAACAATACCTGTGATTTACAATTATTGTAATACAATAACAATAAATATTGTATTGCAATACATCTTCATAATACAATGACAATATCTGAAAAAAAAAGTATTGTGATGACCCACTACAATAATAATATTGTATTGTAATTCGTCTTAATAATACAATAACAATTTATTGTTATTGTAATAAAAAAAAATATTGTAATGTAAAAATTAAATAAACGTTTTAACAGTCCAGTCTCTTAGATATGTGACCTAGAAATAGGGTACAACTAATATATAATTATTGATTTTATTTCTATTCTATTTACTGAATATCATTTGTCCTTGTTACAAACTTTATACAGCTCTATAAAAGTGAATTTGATCTGACCTGTACTTCTTTTACTGCTGGGGATAGACATGATAAATTCCTACCATTTCTTCCACCTAATTATTTGCTTTTACATGAGGCAACTATCTAATTGTTTCAAAACTTACTTAACTAACACTTACTCTAATATAACTATTATATTCAATTATATATAGTTAATCATTTATATATAGTTACTCTATAGAGTAACACTAACTCAAATATAACTATTATAATCAATTACATATAGTTAATCAATTATATATAGTTAATCAATTATATATAGTTAATCAATAAGTTTAGATGTCATCATCCGGTAAAACACTTCAATATCAGTTTAGACAAAATTATATAAAAATCAAAAATTAGAGCCCCTGAACTTAATATTTATCAAGTATACATAATATATATACTTCTTTGGTTTTCCTGGCTTCACTTCACTTCTCAAAATAAATAAAATTCATAAATATAAATGACTGCTAAAAAGGAGCGTCACAGGCACCTCTGAATTTTCTAGTGCCCATATAATAATAAATGTGTGGAAAAAGAATCTAAATACTTTAAAATATAATAGCTATTGGGCTTTAAAATAGTAATACAATACACCACAATAGTTATTGTAAATGTTTTTTATCCCAGCAATACAATACAAAAATTATAGCAATAGTTTTACATCACAGCAATACAAAACAATAGTTTTTGAACTTCAGTGTATTGTTAGAACACAAACAATACAACAGTTATTGTAACTATTTTTAATCACAGCAATACAATAACAATAAATGTTTTAATTACATCTCTGTTATTACAAAACAATATTGTTGTATTGTTATTGTATTTAATTTTTATAATTACAATTACAAAAGTCCAAACCCTAGTGGTGTGTGTGTGTCTATATATATATATATATATATATATATATATATATATATATATATATATATATATATATATATATATATATATATATATATATATATATATATATATATATATATATATATATATATATATATATATAGTTAATTCTTGATAACTTGAACTTGAAAGGGACCAAGAAAAATGTTTGACTTTACAAATGTTCAACTAAAGGGAATTACCATAAGGTATTAGTTCGACTTAAGCATGGCTGATGTCACCAAAATTGACAATTGTGGTCCCCCACTTTTCTTCATTATTCAAAGCTAAAGTACAAACACTAAATATACGGCATTATACTAATAAAAGTGTGAAAAATGTTTCAGTTAAAGACGCTATGTATTGTATTTATGCTGTTATGCTATTTATAAAACTCATGCTATTATAAAACTCATGCTTATGAAACACTCAAAAACACTATTATGCTATTATGAAACACTAAAAAATAATTGCTTGTTTAACAATATTTTATTATGATTTATTCATAATAGTTCTATTATTGCTTTATTTTATGTCTAGTTACAATCTATTAAGATCTAAATACCAGGGGTGTGGAGTCGTAAAAAAAAAGTAACGACTCCGACTCCAGTTGTTGAAATTTTTTTAGTACAACTCCGACTCCAACTCCAACTCTGACTCCGACTCTAAAGCAAAATTTTTGAAAAATTTTTTGAATATTTTAAAAAATATTATGCGATAAGTTAAAAAAAAAGTTTTTTGACAAATTTATGAAACGTTCTTTGAGGTTTAGTATAAATATAACGTTAATTGAATGTTTTATACATGCACGTGCAATACCGAGAAGTTTTACTATTGGAGTCGGAGTCGCGATTTTGTTTAGCGACTCCGACTCCGCTAAAAATGTCATAACTCCGCAACTCCGACTCCACATTTTTTTTTTTTTTAATACAACAAAACAAACAAAAAAAACAACATTAGGCTACTGTTATTTATACTTTATATGGAATGACTTCTTTAAAATAAAATTTAAGTAAGTTATTTTGATTTCTTAATTTGGCATATGGAAAGTTTGAGTTACCCAAAGAAATTTGCAGAAAAGGGATAAAAAAAGCTTTAACAAAGTTTGAGTTATCAAAGGGAATGAAACTTAACTGTTATATACATATATATATATATATATATATATATATATATATATATATATATATATATATATATATATATATATATATATATATAATTCTATAAATTGTTGCATTTGAGAGTACGAAAGGTAAAAAATGATTCTTTTCAATTACTTTTGATTTTCGTCAAACATTTCTGTGTTGTCCTAAAGTTAAAACCATAAATTTAATTGGAAATTATTCATTTTTTTAAAAACCACAAAAACGCAAATTGATTTGACTAGAAGGTTTTTAAAAACATTATGAATGTTTTTAAAAATATAAACAATGTTTATATTTTTTTAAATAAAATGTTTTTGTTTTTTTACTGCATAACATGCGCAGAGTGTTGCTACATCAACTATCTTACAGCCTGCTGCTACAAGGAAGTGCTGCTACATTGACTATCTTATAGCCTGGCTCGCAACAAAGTACTGCTACATCGACTAAGGGTTTGGTTGGGGCAGGCAGTCTATAAAGTAATTAAAAAAATTTCTGGTCTTGCATTTTAATTTTTTTTGTGTGTGTCAACAAAATATGGAAAAACTTTCTGACAACCAGTTAGGAGTTATTTGAGAATTTTTATTTAAATTCTTATAAATATTTGAAAAATATGTGTAAAATGAAATAGAAAAATCAGTATCTTATTAACTACATTATTTCAGCAATAAAACAATCAAATTGACTGGAAAAATTATTAATAATATAACAAAATGTAAAATCCTAGTAATGAATGAACAAAACATCTTAATGAGAGAAACTGCAAAACACTTAAACACAACACATGCCACTTTTAGCAGAATAATCAGACGATATTAAAGATACAATACAATTCAAAATCTTCTATGTCCTAAAAGCATTTCAAATAAAAGAAATAAATCTTCACTTATTTGCATAGTGAAAAAAATAATTAGATATTTATCATCTACTGATCTCAGTCAAAAAGGACAAAAAGCTTCTGGTGTTGTTGCTAGTGCTCAAACAATTAAAAGAGTACTACAAAAACACAATTACATGTGGCAAGCTGCTGGCAAAAAACTACATCTATTGATAAAACATCAGAAGAAAAAACTGGTGCTTAGCTCATAAAACTTGGTCTATGAGCATGTTGCACACAATCTTTTCAGAGATGAAATAAATGTTGAAGTTGATTTAAAAAAAAAAAAAACAAGTAATGCTGAGAAGAAAACCACATTACAAAATGGACATAAATTGTTCTATGAATAGAACAAAACATGTTAGTGGTATTATAGGCATCTGGGCCTGCATGAACTATGAAGGTGTCGATTTTTCAAAATATTTGATGAAAGGCTTGATTCTCTAAGATATTTAGACATATTGAATAATTATTTGATGCCTTCTATTGACATTTTCACAAAAGACATAGAAATCTTTCCATAAGATAGTGCTACATGCTGCTAAGATTTGCAAGCAATTGTTGCAAGAAAACAACATTAAAACCATGTCTTGGCCTGCCAATAGTCCATATCTCAATTGCATATTTGTGGTATGAGTTAAACAAAAATCTTGGTAAAATTAAATAATGATCTGGATCAGCCGAAAGAATTAGAAACAAAATTAATGAATAGTGATCCAAAAGAGATTACTCAGAATTTAGTGAACTCCATGTCGAATCATACCAATGAATAATTTTGTATTTGTGGTTTTTTTATTTTGGCCGCATTTTTTTTTTTTTTTTTTTTTTTGATACAAATGAACACTTGTTTTAATTTCAATATTTTAGTTTTTAATTTTTTTAATTTTTATTACTATATAATAAATTTATATTGTAATTAATTGATTTATTTCAATTTAAAAAAAAAACTTAGAAAATAATCACTTTTAGTTTATAAAATATTCAATTTCAAATTTATATTCATACTAAAATAACATGATGGATTGTTATTAATGGCCAATGCTGTATGTATCGCGCAAATAAGATACTTATAACTTAAATAGGTAGGTAGTAATAAAAAAAACTGTGTTATTAATAAATATGTAAGTAGTAATAAAAATAAAGATTCACTGTGCTATTCTTAATAGTATTAATAATAGCACAGTGAATCTTTATTTTTCGTTAGAATAAATCTAAATAATTTATAAAAATCAAAAAATATTTTTCTTACTCCTCCAGAAAATGAGCTCATTTTTTTCAAATATTTTTCTGTGCATTTCTTAAATATATTTGGGAGCAAAGTCACAAACAAAGTTACTATAAATAATAAAATAGCTCCAACCAATTTTGAAGATATATCTTTTACTGACATTTAACCGAATGCTTTCGATAGTCGCGATATGTACTGTGTGCAAAATATTTTTCGAATGAAAAATTTTTTAAGTCATAATACAATTTTGAATACGTATTTTATATCATAAATGTATCGGTTGGTCTATTTGAATAAATAGAGTGGCGTGATTGGTTTATTGTTGTATTAATGTAAAATGTTGTATTAATGTAAAATGTAAAAAAGTTATTAAATAAATAAGTACATTTAATATTGTGATATAAAGTCGTTATACGCATAAGTTAAATATTGACTGACCTAGATTTAAGTTATAAATATTGACTGACCTAGATTTAAGTTATAAATATTGACTGACCTAGATTTAAGTTATAAATATTGACTGACCTAGATTTAAGTTATAAATATTGACTGACCTAGATTTAAGTTATAAATATTGACTGACCTAGATTTAGAGCGTAAGAGTAAATACGTCGGCTAACGCGTTAAGGTCAGATTTAATCGGCCAAAAAAAATCGTAATTTTGAAATTGTATCTCTCCTTTATAATTTTTCATGTTGTGTGTTTTTTGGTGGCGAAGCTTTAAAATCTCTCCATATAATATTTTTATTCCTATAACTTTTGTTATTTTCGAAATAATAGTACAAAATGTTTCTTTCGGTAGTTCTTCCTTTTTCGCTTGGGTTTAAAAACGCTCTCGTGAAACAAAACTATTAGTGATATACTCGACTGTTATATACAAACAAGGTTTTCTGTAACTTTAGCTAAGTTTCTGTTACTTGGAAGTTATTGATTAATTTAAAGTTACTCAAAGATTACTCTTGGGATTGGCTCAGATTTCTTGTAGGATTAACACTTTCAAAAGATAAAATTAAATTAAATAAAGAAGAAGAAGAAGAAAAATGCTTTAAATAAAACGAAGGATTCGAAAAAAAATAATTTAAAAGAAAAAAGGAAACAAATAAAAAAACAACAATAACAAAAATTTTGAATGAAGAAACTTTTTAAGTGCTTGCTTACTTGAGCATCACTTGACTAAGTGAAATATGATATTATGTGGTTTAATAAAATATATTTTTGACTTTATAATTTAAAACTCAACAAAAAAATGTTCAGATTTTTATAAACAACTTACTAAAATTAACTGTTAAATACATTTCAAATGCAAAATGACGCACAATGGACATTTAATGCATAACAAAATCCGTAAAGATTAATTATGAATAAAGTTTTCTATTGTTTCTTTGATTAGATTGAGATGTTTTTTGAATTAGGCTTCGGTTTTAGTTTCAAATTTCAGCAACCCTGCTTTTTTTTTAGTGATTCAACAGTTTAAACTTCTCCAGATACAAATAAAAAGTTATTTTGCAAAATAGGTTCTATACTCTCCATATAGGAACTCTTTTTGCAAAATCAATAAGGTTGCTTTAGCAAATAACGTTATTTGCTAAGCAACCTTATTGATTTTATAAACCAGCAACTTTAATGATGCACAATTTAATAAATGCAAAGTTTGATAATTTTTAATAGCTTAATCTGAGGATCTGTAGTCTCAGAATTAATCGTCTTTAAATGTTAACCTGATTTAAATCAACCGTTTATTTGATCTGCTAAACCAATTTTTTTTTTTTTTTTTTTACATATTTGATCACGATTCAAATAACTTTCTTTTATGCTTAGAATAATTTAATTAGTAAGGTTTTATTTACCAATGCCTCATATGTCAAATCAAGAATAACTCCCACTTTTATTAAACAATACATATACTAAATAACATTATAATATATTATCAGGGTGTTATCCAGCCTTATTTGGTGTACCGTTATACGCGTTGGTCCTAAATGGTCATAAAATTGAAATTCCCATCTTAATGGTAACAAAAATCCCATTCTCTAGCTAAAGTATGCCAATTATATATAAAGTTTTATCATAATTTTAAAAATTATTGTAAATTAATAATTTTTAAATATTATTAGTAAAAAATGATTGAAATAGTAACTTATAAATGGAGAAAATCATTGTTTTTGAAATAATTTAATTTTTTTTTTTTGAAATAATTTAATTGCACGGGGTTTCCTTCAGAAGTAGCTCATAAAATTGGTAAATCAAATGATGCAATTATTTTTTCTAAGAAACAGCAAATACTAAAATGAAATAGCAAAAATCTAAAAATGTTTGCAAGAAATAAAATTCAATTTCAAAAAATAAAAAGTTTATTTGCCGTAACACCTCAATTGATCTAAAGTTTCACCCGTTTAAAGTTTCACCCGTTTGAGCTGAAGATTTGTGTAAATCATTCGCTCGTTTGAGCTGAAGACTTGTGTAAATCATTCAGCTTTTGGATTGCAACTTCTTCTTGTGCTTCTTATACAAAATTTATTGAAAGTATCGAAGAGCTGTTTATCTTTACCTAAGGGGTAACCCAAGTTTATAAGACGGGTAACCCAAGGTTAGAAATGACGCTAATTATCGCTGGTGATATTACCAAAAGTAATTAAAATAATTATTAAACGAGTGACGATCAACGTACTTTAAAGTACTACAAAGTATTTATAACATTATATTTGATGATATAAGTGTTCTTTAAGATGCCTACCTATTTTTAAACACATAGACATTTAAATTGATAATTAAAAATAAAGTTTGAGGTTTTCCTTTTTGCATTTAACAAATAGAGTTCATATTTATTTTATTATATCTAAAAATATAAACAAGTTAATTTTTAATACGCTTTCTTGAATTAGAACTATAAATTGAGATAATTAAATATAAATAAAATATTTACATATAATAAAAAATATACATAGTATCATTTATAAAAAGATTTTACACACTATTGAATGCATTTTTGAAAGAATTTAAGACTCTGAGATTTAAAAAGTGCTAAATCTAATTATAATACATAAATTTAAAATAAGTTATAAACAGATATATACTTTGATGTATTTTTTAATAAAGTATGAGTTTGTTAAGTCTAACAAACTCATTGTTCATCAACTTGGGTAACGTTAAAACAAAATAAACATTTAATATTATTGAAGTGGTTTTATTCCCAACGGGTAGGCAGACGTTTGTTCGACAACATAAGTTGCATATATATATATATATATATATATATATATATATATATATATATATATATATATATATATATATATATATATATATATACATATATATATATATATATATATATATATATATATATATATATATATATATATATATATATATATATATATATATATATATATATATATATATATATATATATATATATTATATATATATATATATATATATATATATATATATATATATATATATATATATATATTAGGGATATGACTTTTTTAAAAAAAATTTCCCTGGCCCAAAAATGGATGAGTTTTTACGCATAAAATGCGAAAATATTAATACTTTCACGATGTTCAAAAAAAATGTCACGCCCCAAAGCACATTAAGATTTAAAAAGGCTTTAAAAAAATTAATGACCAAAATCATTTCTATTTGCAAACATGTTCATTTATATGATTCTATAAAAAAAACATAATTTATTCTAACAATTAATACATGGCATAGTGTTATATTCAATGCAGGAAAAAACATTTTATACAATTTAAATACATACAGTTATTGTTTATTAGACAAAACGAAAAAACGTGGAAGATTGTCTTTATTTCTGCACAATCTATAAAGCTCCTCCATTACTTTAATTGCTCTTTCAGCACATTGATTACTTCTGGGAATGTTGATTGCTGATGGTTCTGGATTCCAATGACTTGTAAATGTAGCAAAAGGTTTCTTTTTGTTTAATAAAACTTCATGAAGGTCTGAATAAGTGTTTTCTTTATAGGTTTGGTCGTCAAACCAAAAGTCTGCCCACTTGTAAGAAATAAAGGTACATACAGATTCAAGTTTGTTTCTTGTTTTTGGCATAAGAATGTAGGCTAACAACGCTAAAATAGCTCTTGAACTCCACCGAGCATTACTGATATTAGGGATTTTTTGAAATCTTACATTAGGAAATATTTTATTTTGGTCATAGTATTGATAGGTTCTCGTCAGATGAAACAGAAACTTCGTGTCATCTCGCCATCCTCCTGTGTCTTTTATTTCTTCTGTACCATTATAAAAATTTGTCTTCAGTGTTTCATAATGTTCTAACAACTCGTTAGTAAAAAAGTAATTAATGTTTGGTGAGTTCGGATTTTCTCCCAATTTTTCTTCCATTTCTAGTCTAAGTATTCTATCCAAGATATGATGTTGACATGGTACAAATTGAGGTTTTTGTAATCGTTTTTTTTGAAAAATGTCCTGAAGTTTTACAACAACACCATTTTTCTTTCCGGTATTGACATTTGTAGTATCTGTCACAATCATTTTAATTGAATTCCATAGTTTAAATTCATCTATAATATCAGCTATGGCATTAATAATAGTGATAGATTTTCCATCTATTAACTTCAGTGCGCCCAACTTTATTTCGCTTCCTTCATTTTTAAAAACGACAACCTGATACTCCCATTGGTCTATATGCTTTCCATCGAAGTGTAGACTCCAATTCTCATTCTTTAAATCTTGAATTAAAGTTTCTTTAAATTGTTTTGCTTCATTAAAAAGAGCCTTGTATATTCCAGACTGTGATGGCGCTGGAACATGTATGCCTTCTGAGGACAGTATTTTACCTATTTTAGAAGCTTTCTTAGTTGATACCTTAGCACAAACCACTAACTTTGTTGCTATTTTACAACTACTATATTTTTTACGTCTTTTCTTCAAATTATTATATTCTTCATCTGTAATTTCATTATCTATCTCAAATTGTTCATCAGTTTCTTCAAATTCGGAACTAGAGTTGTCTCTTTCTATTTTACTACTTTCAGTAAATGAAGAAAAACTTTTAGATGCTGAAGGTTGGCTGGAAAGTTTTTGCACAATTGATGGATGAATAGTCTTCTTTCCTGCCAGCTTTGAAGTAGCATATCCAGTTTCTCCTTTGCTTTGTAACTGAATTTCATAAAATCTTTTATCTTCAGATGATAACCAA